GAAATTTGCCCTCATCCAGGACTTGATGTCCGACAGACAGTCTGTCAGGACAGCAGTGGTCCTGGAGTTTAGGGTGGAGGCAGAAAGATAGAGTTGGGTGTGGGAAGTTGACCCCATGTCTGCGGATGATGTCACCAAGGGGGAGCATATAGATATTAAAGAGGAGAGGACCAAGGACAGCCCTGGGGGACGCCAGATGTGACAGTGCGGGGGCTGGAGGAGAAACCGTTAGAGGCAACAAAGTGGAGACAGTGAGAGAGATAGGAATCGAACCAGGCAAGGGCAGGTCCGTGAAGATTGAGTAAAGTGGATGAGGATGGAGTGGTTGACAACGTCAAAGGCGCAGAGAGGTCGAGGAGGACAAGGAGGCAGAGGGAGCCCTGATCACAGATGTCCAGAATGTCATTCTGACTTTGACCAGGGCTGTTTTTGTGCTGTGGGGGAAGCCGGATTGGAGGGGTTCAAAGAGGGAATGGTGAGAGAGAAAGGAGCGGAGCTGGGACGCAATGACTCGTTCAAGGACCTTGGAGAGGAATGGGAGGTTAGAGATGGGGCGGTAGCTGGAGAGGAGGGATGGGTCCAGGGAAGGTTTTTTTCCGGATGTACGTAGCTTATCTAGATTTTCAAAAGGCATTTGACAAAGTGCCACATAAGAGACTTATAAACAAAATAGAACCACAACAACAACAAAATTACATTTGTATAACGCCTTTCACGTTGAGAGGACATTCCAAGGCACTGGACAGACAGAGTTTCGGACCCGAGCTGAGGATCGGGGTGGGGGAGGGGGAGGGCAGAGGGGGAAGCAGGGAGATCGAAAGCACGATCGAAGAGGAAGGTCTTAAGGTGGGACTTGATGGTGGCGAGGGAGGAGGTGAGACGGAGTGACTGCAGGATGGAGTTCCAGAGGGTGGGTGCAGAATGGCGGAAGGCCCGGCCGTCAATAGTGGGCGAGTGAGGCGGGAGACGTGAAGCAGGCCGGAGCCCGCTGAGTGGAGGGAGCGAACAGGATGGTCGGGGGTTAGGAGGTCGGAGAGGTAGGAGGGAGCAAAATCATGCATGGCTTTGAAAGTGAGGACCAGGATCTTGAACTGTGTGATGGGAAGCCAGTGGAGTTGGGCAAGGATGGAGGTGATAGGGTCACAGAGCCTAGTGTGGGAGAGAACACGGGCTGCAGAGTTCAGGGAGCATAATTTCCAAATTTGCAGACGATACTAAGCTAGGAAAAGTAGTTAATGGTGAGGAGGATAGCACCAGACTCCAAGAGGACTTAGACAGATTGGTAAAATGGGCAGAAACGTGGCAGATGAGGTCTAATGTGGAGAAGTATGAAGTGTTTGGTTGGAAAAATGAGGAGAGGTCAAATAAGCTGATGGTACAATCTTAAAGAGGGGAAATGAACAGAGACCTGGGGGTCCACATAAGCAAATCTCTGAAGGTGGCAGAGATAAAGCTATCTCTTTATCAGGTAGATAAAGCTATTAAAAAATAGTACGGGATGCTTTTATAAATAGGGGCATAGAATTCAAAAGTCAGGAGGTTATGTTGAATATTTATAAAATGCTGGTTAAGCCTCAGTTGGAGTACTGTGTTCAGTTCTGGGCACCGCACTTTAGGAAAGATGTTAAGGCATTGAAGAGGGTGCAAAGGAGGTTTACCAGGATGGTACCAGGATTGAAGGATCTTAGTTATCAGGAGAGTTTAGCAAAGCTAGGATTATTCTCCCTGGAGCAGAGAAGATTAAGAGAGGATTCAATAGAAGTTTTCAAGATCATGAGAGGATTTGATAGGTTGAACTGAGAAAAAACGTTTCCACTGGCATGTGGGTCAATAACCCGAGGACACCGATTTAAGATAGTTGTTAAAAGAAACAGAAGGGAGGTTAGGAAAAATTCTTTCACTCAGCGATTTCTTTGGATCTGGAATGCATTGCCGGAAAGGGTAGTGGAAGCCGATTCAATAACAACTTTTAAGAGAGAAGTAGATGGGTATTTGGGGAGGACAGGATTGCAGGGCTATGGAGAGAAAGCAGTCCAGTGGGATTGAGTTGGATTGCTCTTTTCGGAGCTGGCGCAGACATGATGGGCCAAATGGCCTCTTTCTGTGCTGTATGATTCTATGACTGTAGATTTTGTGGGCTATGATAAAATGGTGGAAGGAGGTTTCATGTGTATTTTATTGTCAGTTATGTTTCTGATACATGTGGAAACCCATCAACATGCTTGAGAGTATACAAACCAGGCTGAGGGTTCCATATATGTATGCCATCTATCCAAGTTACCCTTCGAATGTCATGTTTAAAAAAAACTGTACATTTCAATTCTTAAAAGACAACAGATAACAGAAGGAAAACGTGACTTAAAATAGTACGTAAACATAAGTATTCATTTATTTCCTCTTCCTTTTTGATGGTCCTCTTCTAGCCTCCACCACCCACCCACCCCTCCCTCTGTCCACCTCCCTCAACTCCCACCCCCACCCCAGGTGCCACACTAGGACTGTCAAGCACCTTGGCACGTCCTCCTGACGTGAAGTGCGCTATATAAATGTAAATTTGTTAATAGTTGGGTGCGTTTGATGCTCACGACAAAGCAAGTCAGTGATTGAAAATGTAACAATCTGGTATACAGCACAGATTATTTGCTAAAGCAAGATCCCAAATACAACCTCAATAATGTGCCAATAATGTGCTAATAACTGCCAATAATGTGGCAATAACCGCCAATAATGTGCCAATAACCGCCAATAATGTGCCAATTCTCCTACTGTGATATTTCTCATATATGTCACTCATCCTGTGGCTTCTCAAGATTATCAATTATTCATCATCAATTTATGGGCACTCGTGTGCTGTGAAGTCACACAAACTCATTTCACTTACAACCCTTTACAGTTAAAAGACCTGCAGGCAGATCCGAATGGTGAAAGGATAGTCATGACTCGCACTCCATCATCCACTTTACAGCCTAAAACGATCTTTATTCAACCCATTCTATCTCCCAATTACATTCAAGAATGGTCCATTTGCCTCTCCCAAATGGCAGTATCTGTAGTAACTGCAGTATTCAACTTCAAGACCTCAGACTCGGGTTCAAATCCATTCACTCCCTGGCACCTCCCTACCTCCCTCGCACCCTCTGCCCCACCATCGGAGGTCGCGCTTTCAGCCACTACACCCCAAAACTCTGGAACGCTCTCCCTCAATCCGTTCGCCTTGGCCTCTCTCTCCCCTCTTTCAAGTCCCACCTGAAAACTTTCCTCTTTGTCCGTGCTCATAGCCACCTCCCCCTCCCCCCGGCTCGGAGTCAGTCAACTGCTGTCCTAGTTGAAATCCACTAACCATTACCTTCTTAGACCAGCAGAGGGAGCTAGACTCAATATCCAGTAGACCAGTGTTTTTCAACCTTTTCCCCTCTACTAAATAATCTGCCTACTTTATTTTTTCCCATTATTTGATATATAAATGGTAAACTGTTGATTTGGACAGAATACCAAACAATAATTCTTAAAACTTTGACTTGCAGTTCTTTGGATGCACAGAATCAAGAGACAGTATTTGTGAATCTCTTTGGAAACACTCTATGTGAAGTGGAGTAACATTTCCATAAGCGGGCAGTGATAACGGTACATTGTCTACTCTGAATGAATGAATTGATAATATTTTCTTCACCTCCGGATGGTCAGGTGCAACGCCAATCTTACAAGACCAAACGGGAGCGGTAGTTTCTCACAGATAACAATGACCGATTTGTGAAGTTTGAGAAGGTTCTGTGCAATGTAAAAACCAGCAGAACCATTGCCAATGATGCACACCCGAAACTTGGAATCTGCCAATGAAGAAAACTTATGGGTCACCAGGAAAGGGCTTCCTGGGGGGTAGGGAGGGGGCCGTGGGCGATTCCCTTGCAGTACATCCCAGCCAGCAGAGTGCAAACAGCTCAGGGTATTCTCATGCCGCAGGCCGGCCGGCTGGCTAGTCGGAGCTTCGGGGAGTTCACGATTCTCCTCGTTCAGAACTTTTCCCGCCATACACCGACTACAGAGAAACCTCGTCACTGGGAGGAGGTCAACGTGAAGACAGCTGTGCAACCCAACTTCTCAAACTTCACCCATCCAGGGGTTTGAAGCAGTGTCACGGAATAATAAATAATAATACTCGCGTTTGATGATGCGCCTTATCACGTCGTTGAGACACCTGAGCACTTCACAGAATATATTGTAAAGTGGATTGATTGTTTATTTTTGTGGGAAATATGCGCAAGCCACTTGTGCCCAAGGAGTATCCCATAGTCGTGGATTGAGTGACCAAATTATTATTATTTTTTTAAAAGGGATTATTACTCCCGGAAATGCGATCTGCCAATCGACTACAGCTGGGTTCCTATTCACTGCTACGTAAACAAAAGCGTGTGGAGTAAGGAAACTTGCCCAAGGTTTCACCCCGCCCAGCAATCAAACCCAGGTCTCTAACTTGCGAGGCGAGTGCTCTGACCCCTGAGCTACAGGAGGAATTGGTGTTAGCGTAACCAGAGGCTGGAGACAACCTGCATCCACTTCAACTCCTCCAAGCGCCCGCCACCAATCCAAAAGGCCGACATGTCATCCCACGACCCACGCCATCATGCCCACTCCCTCCCTGCATACTGTAGCCAGCCACCAACACAGCACATCCCCCGCATGTACCCACTTTGACCCTTAGAAGTACACCAGGAGTATACGTACTCCCCGTGGAAAACCCTTGCACTAGACCATCAGAGGCAGCCAGCTCAGAGTCCACTAAGAATTCTTTATAAACTTCAGTAACAATCAGTGAGACTCTACATCTATTCATGAGGGGTTTCATCTTGAAACGATTTATACCTTGATACTGCACAAGAACATAGCATTTGCTTCCCAACAGCCTGTGTGTCTCTATCTCTTTAAAGTACATCAAAAGTTGTGAAGCTGCTTCATTTCTACTGTGACCAAATAGTGAGTACTGACTGCAACGCTCACTGAGATTTTGCATGAATAAAACCATTTTAATTTCAAAGTTCAGTTCATGTACAGCAAAAACAAATTATATTCATATAGCGCCTTTCATGTCAGGACAACAATTAATCATAGCAAACAGGTGACCGTAAGTCTTCACAAATGTGTGCTGCACACCGCTGTCGTGTGTCAATGTGGAAACTTCACTTCTGAAGTTTTCCTTTGCAGCTTCTTCGTTGTGATTGGGAGTAGAAAGGAGCTGGAAATCCTGAGTGTGGCGATGAGGGGAAGTCCAACAATGGGGGTGCAGTTGAGTTTGTAAAGCTACATCAGCAAAATCCAATATTGCACAATGTAACCAGTTTCCAAGCTTACAGATGTGTGTGGGCAGGCGGGGGCGGGATTGGTGGTTGGAGGAAAAATCAGAAGCACATTGGTCGCCCCCTCCAAAAAGAGTTGTTTTCATTGCTCTGTGACATGCTTGAACTAAACTCCACTTTTTGGCAGATGATGGAAGATAGCAAGTGTCCAGTATCTTCCTCAGATTTACTTTGACTTCTTCTTTTTTAAGAGAGCATCCCGTAGAGCAATCTGTCAAAAGGAAAAGGAAATTCTAAGTGAATCAACTGCCTCGTGTTGTATTTGTATAACGTTAAGTTTCAAGGCAGCGGTAATTTTACACATACCAACACCTTATCCACACTGTGGGTTCACCATAAATCAATGTGGTTTTGAGAATGCTGAAAATAAGCTTCAAGTTTCAAGTTTTTCCCTACCCTTTCTTTTAGTCAAATGAAATTCAAGTGTACACAAAGCTTATCTTAAGCGCCTCTTTGGAGCTAACTGAAAATGGTGGCAGAACACTGGAGACTGAACACAATGTTCAGGTGCATAAATTCTAGCAGGAGGCCAAAAACAACTACTAGATAATTATCTAATAATCCTTGCATTTGATATAGCACCTTATCACATCTTCGAGAAGTCTCAAAGCACTTTACAGAATATACTGCAAAGTGAATTGACTATATTTTGTGGGCGAAATACAGCAGCCAACCGCACACAGCAGTGTTCCACAAACAGTCGTGGATTGAGTGACTCATTTATTATTATTATTATTTTGACAAATTATTACCCCCAGAAATCCGCCAATTGACTAATAACGGGGCTCCCACTCACCGCTAGGAAAACAGAGGCATGTGGAGTAAGGAAACTTGCCCAACATTTCACCCTGCTAACAGGAAATGAAAATTTCACACATAATGTAACTATTCTGTGAATTTCACCACACAAATGAGTCACAGAAAGGACACAATTGCATTACAATTTATATAATACCTTTCATGTCAGGAAGATGTCTCAAAGCACCTCACTCAACTAACTTTAGGGCTAGGTTTAGGGTTAAATCAGCAACAATTGTTGGTAGGATTACAATGCTATACAATCCATCACCAATTGCAGATGAATGAGCCACAGGCATGACAAACCATTGCACATCATTAAAATCAGCAACAGCTTTCTGTGCAGACTTTACCTTTAATCCCCATTCCCAGACCATACATTGAAGAAACAACTGTCCAATATATAAGCAGTGAAATAATATTTACCTGCTTCTCCCTGAAAGAGCGTTTGCCTTTTGATCTGACATTGTGACTGTATCTCATCATCATGAAGTTCTTTTTCTTCTTCTTGTCCTGGTTTGTTGTGCTTGCAAATGGATTCAACTTGCTCCTCTTTTTTGTAAATTCACTTTTCTCCGTCTTCCCTGCCTGAAAGAAAGAATGTGCTTTTTTACAGCCTCGTCACGTTGAAGCATCAAAACATTTTTACTGTAAACCATGTTGCAAAGACGGCAGCCATTTTACAGCCTCAAAGAGCCATTTGATGACTGACCAAGAATTATTCACCAGGAAACTTGGAGAACATTACTTAAGCACCAGGCTCTTACCATTGCTGTTGCAAGTCGAGTTTCTTTGTCCGATTTAGGCTTTTTATGGAGCTTCTCTATATCCCTCAGTGACAGCAGCTCCCCTCTGTAACCCAAGAAATTTTAACAATTAGTGCTGAAAACAGATGACAACAACAAATTACATTTGTACAGCGCCATTCATGTCGGGAGGATGTCCCAAGGTGCTGGATGCTCAGGAATTTGGACCCAAACTGGGGGCTGGGATCAGGAGGGATTGTGAGCAGGGAGGATAGGGGTAGGAGGGTGACTGAAGGCTCAGTCAAAGAGGGCCTTGAGATGGACCTTGAAGGAGGCAAGGGAGGTAGCGAGTCAAAGCAACTGTGGGATGGATTTCCAAAGGGTGGGAACTGGGAGGGCCGGTTACATGGAGCAGGCCAGAGACTCTAAGTGGAGGTAACGGACAGGTCTTCATGGAGTTAGCAGGTCAGAAGTAAAGAGAAGCAAAGCCGTGGAGGACTTTGAAGGCAAGGACGACGATTTTGAACTCTATCCTCTGGGGGATAGGAGCCAGTGGAGCTGAACGAGGGTCAGAGAGATTGGTGCAAGAGAGGACGAGCTCCAGAGCTCTGTATGATCTGCAACTTATGGAGGAAGAGTTGGGAAGGCCAACAAGCAGGGTTTCAGTTTAGACAACGTCATTTCCACCTTCTATTCTTCTCCACCGCCAACCCCCACCCCCAAACCACCCACAGATAGGTACTGTAGTTTTGCAGTTCAGTTTAGACAAGGAACTGAGCAGTTGTGGCAAAACAAGCCCCACACTCTCGAGGGAGGACTGGCTCAGACTCCACTAAGCCGCTCTTCCCCCACAGTCTAACTTAAGTCACATGGCCCGCTCTCTGGAATTCCTCTAAAATCCCTCCACCTTAACCCCTCCCTCCCTACTTTCAAAAACTGCCTCCCCCCTACCTACCTTGGCCTTCTCCTCAGACACTGTAAAGTGCTTGAGACGTTTTATGTGAAAGGAGGGAAATACGTGAAAAATTATGTTGTTTTATTGATCGCAATACAATTCAGGACGTCCCAAAGTGTTGAGAGGGGGAGGTGAAAGAGAGAAAGATTAGATTCGAAAGAAATATGCACAAGTGAACTGTTTGTCACACAAGTTACATATAAAAAAACACATACTTCCTTTCTTCATCACTGTCGACCTCAACAACTTTCCTCTTTTGGCTTTTGCCAGGGGCAGAGTCTACTTCTTTGGCTATCTGAGCCAAACGGATTTTCTTGAAGTCGTCCTGTGTTAGGAGGCGGCTGGAGCTGACAGCAGCTGCTTTAACCTTCCGCGAGTCTGCAGGAATGTTCTTCAACTTCTCCTCCTGTTCAAATAAACACATCAGCTGAAAAAGCCTGCAATATTGCAGTTCCAGTGAGGGTCAGCACAGCAAGTACCAGTTCTTTTTACAAATTTAGCTACTGGGACATACAAAATCCTCGCGATAGAAACAAAATATTATAGTATAAAAAGATTGCAAAAATCAGAGGAAGATTTGTCAGAATTAAAGTGCTGACAAATCTCCCTCTAATTTTTGCCATGTTTTTTAGATTATATTTTCTAAGCAGCTGGTCTAGAACTCACTAAACAAGAGGTTTGGTCATTTGCTCACAGTTGCATTCGATGTTTGACATAGAATCATCAGTTCAGATCCCCAGTTGTCATACTCAAGCCGTATCGTGTTCTGGTCAGAGTACTGCATGCAATTCACGTTACTGTAACGTAAGGGGCTGCCTGAGTCTTAGAGGCATGACAGGGGAGAACAACAAGGATGATCCCCGGTGTTAGAGAAATGAGCAACAATTAAGACAAGATAGGGCTCTTCAGTCTTGACAGAAGATGTCTCAGGGGAACCTTATATCTATATAATTTTAATCTGTTTTAACTTTTACATGGGATTGAAATCGTAAATCCAGTAGAGTACTATATGATGCACCAACAGTAGGGCAAGAGAATATAGCCAGTATGGCAAAGCGCAAATTCAGGACAGATACCAGGAAGTATTTCTCCCAAAGCGTAATTAACGACCGGAACAGGTTGTCAAGAAAGATGTGGAGAGACCAGACTTGGAAACTGGACTCATCTTGAAAAACAGCTTAATGCTGTCATGGGAAGACAGCAGGTGATGTAAGGATGAGATCAAATGGGTTAAAAGGGACCTTCTTCACCCAAACAGATCTCATGATTAAAAAAAAGGAAAATAATTTTACCTTTATAAAACACTGATTCGGCCTCAGCGAGAGTACTGTGTTCAGTTCCGGGCACCACACTTTAGGAAGGATGTCAAGGCATTTGGAGAGGGTGCAAAGGAGACTTACCAGGATGGTACCAGGAATGAGGGACTTCTTATCAGGAGAAGCTAGAATTATTCTCATTATCCTCACTCTCGTGTTCAAATCTATTCACTCCCTGGCACCTCCCCGACGTCCTCACTCCCCAATCCACCACCCAGCGCCTCCACTAGACTGGCACTGGCCTCCTGCTTGTCTCTCGCACCCTCCGCCCCACCATCGGAGGTCGTGCTTTCAGCCACTACATCCCAAAACTCTGGAACTCTCTCCCTCAATCCCTCTGCCTTGCCCCCTCTTTCAAGTCCCACCTGAAAACATTCCTGTTCGACTGTGTTTACAGCCACCTCCCCCCTCCCACTGGCTCAGAGTCAGGCTCCGCCACTGTTATCCTGCTATCCTGCGTGGAGAGCGCTATATAAGTGCAAGTTGTTGATCTCCTTGGAGCAGAGAAGGTTAAGAAGAGACTTAATATAACTTTTTAAAATTATGAGGGGATTCGATAGGATGAACAAGGAGAAACTACTTCCACTGGCGGGTGGGTCGGTAACCCGAGGACACCGGTTTAAAATAGTTGTTAAAAGAAACAGAGGGGAGGTGAGGAGAAATGTTTTCACAAAGTGAGTTGTTGGGATATAAAATGCATTGCTTGAAAGTGTGTTGGAAGCTGATTCGATAACAACTTTTAAGATAGAAGTAGATAATTATTTGAGGAGGACAAGTTTGCAGGGCTATGGCGAGAGAGTGGGGGAGTGGGATTGAATTGGATAGCTCTTTTCAAAGAGTCGGCAGACATGTTGGGCCAAATGACCTCCTTCTGTGCTGTATAATTCTATGAATGCCCTTCAAAGAAAACCAAGTGGGTGAATTTTCCCATGGACATTTTGAACACAAATGGAACTTGTGTAGACCTTGATTACAAATTTAGGCACAAGGATAGGGGTTTCTAGTGATCAAATGGAAACCTAAATGATTAGACAAACTGGCCTTTCCACGTCACTTTTCTTAGTGGCAGCACAAGCTCTTTTTAACTCAAATCTGGCCACCCTGCGAATTGAAAAACTTACAAAATCTTGGCGCTAGAAACAAAACAATGTTACAAAATCAGAGGGAGATTTGTCAGCGCTTCAGTGTCTCCCAATAACTGACTCAGAAATAAAGAATTGTTGGAATCTCTTATAGTCAATTCTTTACAGAATTCACCTGTGAGAGGACTGGAGAACAAGATTTATTTGAAATACATTTGCATATTCTATCTCAGCTGAGTTTACTTTGTTCATTTAACTTTTTTTTTGGGGGGAGAGGGGGAGGACGGGGGACAACTGTGTGGCTGACACTTGCACATACCACCCATCACCATGCTTAAAGAGTGTCCAACCCAGACAGAATTCCACTTACATGTGAAAATTTCCATGTCTGGAATGGGATGCTCTCTCTGGAGGGACGCATCCCGCTTACCTAATTCTGGAAAGTATTAGGCGCAGGTTGGCAAGAGCCAAGGCTTGGTTAAGAGTGTGCATTGTGGTACTGCACTGGGTTTTTGAAAGATGAAGCTTTTTCTCTCTCGCTAGAAACACAATCTAACTAAAATGTTATCTTAAAACTTTCATCTGTTAACAAATTATTTGCACAGAATTCAAGGTTAATACTTTTTTTCCCCAATTGTGAACGCTTATTCAGCGATGCCCTTTGCTATTCTGTTGCAAACATCAATCTTCTTATTATAATATTATTGCTCAGGCACAGATTTGTAGACAGTGTATAAAATATGCTTAAATAAGAGGCTCGATTAATTTAAAATTCTCTTCAACAGGCAACTCTGTACAGATTTGCAACCTCTCCCTTTCCACACTCTGCCTAATTGACAACCAAGTGTCTTGAAAAGTATTTTCATGGACTAGGCCTTGAACAGTGAGCTTCTCCGACCTATATTTTCTCACAGATGTCCAAGTGACATTGTAGGGCTGTCCTTATGAAGACAAGGTCAGTCATATAATACAACATAATTTATGCTTATAATAATGTCTTTTCACGTCCGGAGGATGTCTCAAAGTGCTTGACAATGCTGGCTGGGTGCCTAACCTGGGGATGAGAGCTGAGAGGATGAGACCTCTGGTTACTGAGTAACAAAGGCACTGATGTTCAGATTTTCTCCCAATTACTCATCAAGCGCATCGTTGAACTCAATGTATAATTCTGACCGACCTACATTTCATTAAATGCAATCTTAGAATTTTATGTTTTCACTCTAAAGTCTATCAATTCTTCAAACCATTGCTCCAGTAATCTTGGCAAGTACCAGAAATTTAGGTGAAAAAGGTTCAAAAGACGTCATAAAAAGAGCAGTAAAAAAAATTGTTCAATGAGATTTGACGCAGTATGAAATATTCAAGTGCCCAAGTAGAACTTACCACTTCCTTCTGCTGCTCTTCATCTGAAGAATGATGAACATCAACCCAGCCTTCATCATCTTCATCTTCATCCATGCTCGCACTCTCCCATCCATCTGCAATTGAAAGTTGGCTCGTAATCTCTACTCAGTATATTTCACCTCGGATAAAATATTATCTAAACGCTTACAAAGAAGCCCAGCCAGTATGTGAAATGAATTCTAAACTTTACCCTAAAATCATACAAAAGTCTACAAAATATAGTCATTACACTTTACAGTATACCCTTTGACGCACTTTGTGAGAAAGAGTCTCAAAATGAAAAAGGCACTATATATACAGAATGTAAGGTTCATCGTTATTATTAGAAAATTTGTATTGATGGCTCACTGTATCAAGGAGAGAGTCACTCCAACTCAGTTGCCTCTGTGTTAGGCAGTCAGATAGAATATCACCATGTCCCAATGAATTGTGCTTCTTGTAGGTCCAACTGCTAATCATCATCAAGAGTCAGAGAAATTGCCTGGAGGGAGTATCACAGTATCACCCACACTGCAAGGCAGGGAAAAACCAAAGGACCTACCATTATCCTCTTTACTCTCCACTCCCTCCACTTCCAGGACCTCTGCTCCTGGGATGTAGTCTTTAGCATCCAGTTCACCATATTCATGACATTTAGCTTCCAGCGAGGCTTCAGTAGGTTTACCCTATTGAAGAAGCAGAGTTTAGATTTCTGATTTTAATAACTATTATAATGCAGATGGACACTGAGCAGATCTCACCGTGACGTGGCCTTTAAACACGTATTGATCAAGTTTCTCAGTTCTGCTCCCCTATCAGTGGGTCAGTGGGTACTCTGCTCTGTTTTTCACCCTCTGTAGACTTCAATTCAGCCGAGGAACAGAGGCAGCCGCACACAATTATAGAAATATTAACAAAGGAGAATGAGATTATGTCACAGCAGCTCCTACACTAGCAATTGTATCTTATTTTCCTGCTCATAGAATTGAAGAGAGATGAGAACAATTTTAAGAATGGTTCTGTCTCATCACAAGTCTTCAAAGTGCATCCATCTCTATCTGGGTTTATTGGCAATTTAATTCCTTCTTTCTTCCCCATCCACTCACCTTACTCTCGAAACATGCAGCCTCAGTAGATGAGATTAAGTGGCCATTTTAGCTAATGGCTCACAGTTTAAATCCTGTCGAATTGGTTCAAACTCCCATGCTTCATGCAGCACAACAATTACAATTTACAGCAAAAAGACTGCCAGAAGAGATGTCTGCTCTATGATCAGTATGTGGGTATCTGGGGCTCATTAAAACTATTGAAAGCCATCTGTTTTCCAAAGTGTATATCAGAGCAGAGCAGAGGTTTTGATTCTAAAGATTGATATTCATGCTGGAATCAGCTTGGAGTCTTAGATCAGCTCATGACTGCTGGCTCCTAGGGCGCATTTCATTAACTCTGAGTGCTGGCGTTCCAAGCAGCAAGTTATGCAAACACCATTGTCGGCCAGGCCTCCAGCCTTTCTTCTCCCATCCTATGGAACTCCATCCCACATTCCCTTCACCTCGCTCCCTCCCTTGCCTCCTTCAAAACCCTCCTGTTCGACAGAGCCTTTGGCCACCCTCCTACCCTTCCCGATCCCAGGGTTGTGTCCAAATCGCTGATTGTCCAGCGCCTTGGGACATCCTCCTGATGTGAAAGGCGGAGTACAAATGTAATGTAATATTGTATTGTATACTTATAGGCACACAGTGGTTTCTGAAGCAAAAATGACCAATAATCTTTTCCTTACAAACTTTCTCCTAAAGTCACCATTGATTCTCCTGAGGCAAGCTCACAGCTCAGGCTGCCCCCGGTAGAGAACAAGTTCATACGATGATGAGCAGCGGTAACCCATCGAGCAATAGCTCCATCGTGTTTCACATGTAAATACATCACACGCAATCATCATGGCTCAGTGACGTGCATCTTTTCCTGATGAATGGCAATTAATTCATTCACTTATTTTAAAAATTATTTTAATGCGGTGCAAACATTAGTAGAGACCAGAAATGACCCTGGGAGTGAAATCGCCAAAATATCTCGGCAACACCGTCAGTTTCCACTACACTTTATTTCATGTGCGTTGGAATTTTGTTGGAAGATTCACTTCCAAAACAAAACCAGCATCTTGCAAAGTAAATGGTGTAACAATAAGTAGAGGTCTCTATTGTTCTCACACCCTGAAATTGGCCATAAACTCTTGCTATCAAGTAGTTACTACGGGGTCTAAACATTTCAGTATTTCACAGTCTGTCTTACCCGGTCTTTCTTGTGCAACATCTGAGGGTTCATGCTTCTAAAAAGATGAATCAGTGATTTGGCAGACATCCCCACATCTGAGAGCAATAATAGAACAAAGGTTGGAAGTAGACAGGTAACTGAAAGCTGAAGGCTTGAAGGAGTATGGGGATAAAGAAGGGCAGAGCGATTGAATGAACAGCTTACTCTGAGAGCCAGTGCAGACTTGATGGCCAAATGGCCTCCTTCTGCGCTGTAAATTTCCACAATTCTAATTTACGTTCTAAGTGATTGTGGTCAATACATAGGGCATGGCATACGAATAGAGGCACAGATATTAATGCATGAAGAGTTAGTGATGACTACTAGTTGTTTGATTCCTCTGTTGAGTGTCATTATCAGCGAAGTACCAGCTAAGGGTCCTTTGCAAAGGGAAAAAAAGAACTTCAAAGACTATTTCAGAAACATTCTCTTCACAACGTGTGGCAAATTTAAGTGGTTCCGTTGGCACTCTAAATGAATCCCCACACTGAGTATGAGCTTGCATACCAAATTACTATCAAAGTCACAATGTAACAGATACACTAGTCACAGAGACATCGAATAAATGCACCATCTGTCACAGCTTCAGCAAAATCATATCTGAGAATATCTTGTGAACTGGAATGGGAGAGCATTTAATGATACAATTCATTTTCAAATGGAGAAAATTATATAACAGAGTTCATTAAACACATGGTGATTTAGCTGGCCCTACTCGAATTGGTAATCGAAAGACAAAACAAAATTTAAAATATATAGATTTAAAATCCGCTGACTCACTTTTATTTCTGTGTGTCTTGTATTGAGCAAGATCCTGGAGAAGATCTTCTGTGATGGCGAGGGGGCATCGAGCACTGATTTCCTTGATGGTATTGATTCTGTTTTTGTAAAGAAATGGTTCAGAGGTTCAGCTGTTAAATCGTGGACCTGAATCCTATCTGTAAAATCTCAAAAAGGCATTGGTTTGGTTCAGTTGGTAGTACTCTCACCTCTGAGTCAGAAGATTGTGTTCAAACCCTACGTCAGGGCTTTGATTTCAGTCTAGATTGACCCTCCAATACAGTACTTTGAGGAGCACTGCATTGTTGGAGGTGTCAGAGTAGCATTATTTCAACATGCTCAACTCAGAATGCAATACAAATCTACATTTGTATAGTGCCTTACACTTCAGGGGATGGCCAAAGACCCTTAACAATACTGGCTTGGCACCTGAGCTGGGGTAGGAGCCAAAGAGGTAAGGAGGAGAAAGATGATCAAAGAAGCAGGTCTTGAGAGTACCTTGAACAAAGTAAGAGAGGGAGAAAGTCGGAGGAATCTCCAGGATGGAATTCCAGAGAGTGGGAGCAAAATATGCTGAAAGCCTGCCCATTAACAATGGGGCGGGTAGAGCAGAGCCATGAAGCAGGCTGGGAAGGGAAAGCAAGGTTGGTAGTGCTTGAGAAAGTCACAGAATAGGGGGAGGGCAAGACCATGGAGGTATTTCTAGTTCAGAATGGGAAATGTGGGCAGACTCTTTCATCATTTTACAAAGAATGGTGAACACATGGAATTGAGTACCCAGCAGGGGTAATGGACAGCCATCGTTTGCATTAGCAAATTCAATATGCCATTAGATAGGTATCTGGTGAAGAATTCAATTTTTTTTTGGTTAGCCAGGTGTCTGACACATGCGGAAACCCATCACCATGCTTAAGAGTATCCAAGCCAAACTGAGTATTCCATGCATCTCACCAACACATGGAAATTCCAGAGATAAGATTGTTGGAATGTAATGCGTGTTTCTCTCCCTGAAAGTCAGCATCCTGCTTACCTAATTCCAAAAAGCATTAGGCGCAGGTTGTTGAAGAGTTAAGGTTTGGTGAAGAATTCAACTAAAGGGCCTGAGAGATTAAGCAGTGTAATTTTTTTTACAAGGCAGTTTTACTTAGGGACCGAGCACTTGTATTGCAATGCGCTTTTCCAGTCTTGTACATTCCTCTGTACAACACAGTCTGTGTCACTTCCCCTGGGTGGGATGGGCAGATTGCAGCTGCTCCCATCTCACAGGGGCACAAGGAGCCAAACAGGTCAGCTCGCCTGTCACTCAGGAAATCCAAGTGGAAGCATTACCAAAGGGGAAGCAGGTATAACATCAAAGACATACCCTCTGAATACATTCTTTTCTGAATCAAACCTTTCTTCACCAAAAGGAAGCTGTTACATGAAGGTAATTATATATTTTTCTGGATAGGATTAATAATTGAAAGTTTGTTACATTACCCTACGGTCATTACTTCAGCAGAGTTTCTGTCCGTCACAAAGTTGTTTGCTACAGTCATCACCATTGTTTGTATAATCTAGGAAAAAAAATGCTTATTGTAATCATGTCAATATCCATACTCCTGAACACATTAACCCTGGGAAGAATGCACTGTCACTCTATTTCAGTCAGTATCCACTTGCTCACACTTGGGCTCCTCCACAGATGATGTGGAATTTGTACAAACGACTGGTTTGGAGGGACTGTGGCTCCTAATTCTTCACGAACAATTCACCAACAATTCAGCCAATGTACAACATAACAATAACAGACCGAACGGGTAGCTTTTAATCTTTCAGCAGTGCTTTGAAAACTCTAAACAGATGCTCAAAATTATACCTACTGAATTGTGGAAAATGTTTAAATGCAGTCTTGATCTGAAAGATCGTTCTCGGCAAGAAGTGGGGAAAAAAACTCCCAAATTAAGATGGAATTTAAGAATTTCCCACAATTTTGTGAAACCTTATAATTTTAGGTTTCACAGGCTACGACTGGATAGAATTTGAAGTCACAGAAGTGAAATAATATCCTTTATTGGACATTATTCTCTATGCTGCTACAGAACCGTAGCTCTGGCAGCACATTCTACTATTCACTCATTCTTTGTCCTGCTCAGCAATTGCTGCATGGAGTCAATTCTGGTCTATTTCAAGCAGAAATTCCTGCAGACTGGGGAGAAAGACTCATAACTAAGATCACATGAACACGTAGTTCAAATCCTTTCTGGATGATCTACAGCTGCAAACAGCACTGTTCAAGTTTTAAGTCTTGTTTTTGTCTTTAACATTTCCAAGCAATGTTTTGCAAGTCAATGACTGAGATCATAAATGTGCAAGACAGGTCACCAAAAATTCAGAAATATGACCTTAAGGATTCTTTAAGATTCAAAATTGAATACAAACATGAAATGTTTTTTTNAAATGAAATTGTGTAAGAAAATTAATTCAATATATCTCAAAAAGTTAACGTTAAAATTCTAAACACTAACATTTAAGATTTAAAGTTTTGACAATTACCTCAGGTGGAACAAGCTGATGAGTGGCCTGAGCAGCGTGGAGGAGAATCTTGGTCACATCTGAAAGAACACGGAAGGATTGGTTTTAATGGGTTAATCCATTGTGTTAATTTTAGTTTCCACCTACCTTTGATTCAAGTTGACTTAAAGAGCACTGCTGCCATTGCTTCAAAGAAACATGGTTGCCTTGCTCTGAGTTAAGCTGGCTTGTATCCCTCCTAATACAAATTTACCCCCTAAATTCAAGTTTGGTATCTGCAAGTCTCATTCTTGTTTGTGGGATGCTGATAGGATTTGCCAGAATAACAACATTCAATTCATTCCTGATTGTAAAAAGCTAAAAAAAAGTTTTATTTTACATGAAAGAGCCGTATTAAATGCAAGTTGTTGATTTCAAAATCCTCACACTCGTTTTCAAATCCCTTCATGTCCTGACACCTCCCTACCACTCCGACCTGCTTACCCCCCAACCTAAAATCCGCTGTCTCCACTTGAGTGGCTCCAGCCTTCTGTATGTCCCTCGTGCTCTCAGTTCCACCAATGGTGGCCGCACTTTCAGCCACTACACCCCGAAACTCTGGAACACTCTTCCTCTATTCCTACGCCTTGTCCCTTCCTTCCCCATTTTCAGGTCGCACCTGAAGACCTTCCTATTCAACCGTGCCTATGGTCACCTCCCCTTCCCCCCAGCTTGGCATGGTGCTCCGCCACTGTCGAGTACTCTGGGACACTACCCTGTGTGAGCAGTGCTATATAAATGCGTTGTTATTATTATCATTGGTGGCTCAGTCAATGAAAAATAGTGATTGAATCGGACAACATTTGAGCTCGACTCACCTCTTTGATGTGGTTGAAGAAAGCGTTGCAGAAATGGGTAGAAGTTAAAAAGGAATAACTAAAACCAAAAAGAAAACAAAATAAGCACCATATATATAACATGTACACACACACAGTCATGCTTTATGCACTGCAGAGATGAAAAGTCTTCTTTATGTTCTGGAAGAGCACAACACTTTATGCAAGAGCTGCAAACGTCAAACCCAAGACCGCAAATACTCTAGGCTTCAGCAGAAGACAGTCAAGATACACACTAGTCAGGTTGCTAAATGATTACTGATAAGATTCAGAACCCATTTAGCCAACCCATTCACAAAGGCAAGACATATTCTAAAAACATCTGGCAGTTCATCGTCTTCTTTCTTAGAATCATAAAAATTTGTAGCACACAATGAGGCCATTCGGCCCTTTGAGTCTTCGCTGGCTTCAATCCCACTGCCCTGCCTTATCACAATACCCCTTCAAGCCTTTATTCTTCATTTATCAGTCTACTTCCTCCTTGAAACTCACAATGGAGTCCGCCTCTACTACCTTTCTTGGCAGGGCATTCCGCATCCCAACGACTCCTGTGAAAAAAAATCACCTAATTTTCCAAGTTTTATTACAAGAGTGAAGTGGGCAAATGAAGAAAAAAAGGAGAATCATGTTTTCATAAGCAATTTTAAATAAAGACTGACAGAGAATTAGATATACATTTGAAGAGGAAGCACTTAAAATGGGTACACAAAAGAACAGGGAATTACCAATAGAGTAGTTAGCACCACTTTATGCTCATTCAGCTAATGGTCTTCTTGTATGCTGTGATTTCTATAAATTCTGGAGCAGTTTATTGGGGTTCTCTAGGCAACTGGCCAACTGGTATTGCACTTTGGGGTTGCAATCCTGGGATTTCAGGAATACAATTACCATATGGGATTCCCGGCACCTCGTGCGGTAATTATTCTGAAATCTGGGATTGAAACCCCTAATTACACTATACAGGAATTGCTGGCTCTGTACACTGATATCAATTTATTTATGAAATCCTCCTATCAAATGATCCGCATCACAAGAATGATTTCTAAAAAACACAGAATATTGATCACCTCATGAATTCCAACAAGTCTTGATATTAGGTTCATCATCATCATTTTCACTTCGAATCTTTCCTTGGAACTTTCCAACTGTTTGAAAAGTTTCTCTGCAAAATCTGTAACAAATTAAAAGTTTTATTACACTTCTTTCAAAACTGTTGCCAAAATGATATAAAATATTGGACTCTACTAAAACATGGGAGGCTCCAACCTTTACTTTTGTTAAATTTTTACTTAAGAGTTCTACTGACCGGTTTTCTGTACAGTTTTAGCAATTTGTATACAATCGTTAGAAACAAGCCTTCATCCATCCCAGAACTATCACTATAAGGGATTTCTGTTACACATTTGAATTGACAAACGTTCTCAGGTACACATTGGCTAGCTTGGAGCACTTCTCTCCACTTGGACCCAACCTACCACCAAGCAACAAAAGTATAAGGCAAGTTACCATCTGATCTGTCCTAACTACTGGTTATTTATGCCAAATCACAAGGAATGCAAGGTCAGGAAAAATACAGCACTAGATAACCAAAAGTTTCTACATGGATTTCTTTGTTAGAAGGAAACATCTAGATTGATTTTAGGAATATAGGAACACAGGAACAATTGATTCTGCCAATCAATTCTGTCCCACCAGTTTATTAGATCTCATGGTCTTGCCCCACCTTACCTCTGCGACCTCCTCAAACCATTCCAAACCGACCAATTCCTTTGTCTGGGGCTCCTCCCTCACCTTTTTCAATCTCTGTCTCGAGACCTACCCCTTCGGCTACATCTTCAATCATCTTTCCCCTCCCAGCCTCCTTGGCTCCCACACTCAGCTCAAGTGCTACGCATGGACTGTCAAGAGCCTTGGGACGTCCTCCAGGTGTAAATTTATATTGTATTATACCTTGGCAGATCTGTTGATACCCCATAGGGATTTCCAGAAAGTTCCCTACTGATTCTATCTCTGCAGCTTTCTGGGGCAGAGCATTCCACATTTTCACAACCTGCTGTGTGAAGAAATACTTCCTGAGTCCAGTTCTAACCTTCTTAATTCTGATTTGAGGCCTATGTCCCCTTGTATCGGATCTCTCTATCACAAGGAAGATTTAGTGAGGAAAAGTCTATTGTTCTTATCCTGTTGCAAAAGTCAAAAATCAAATAACCAAATCACAAAGAGGTCAGCTACAGGAAATTGGATGAATATTTTTTCCTGTTGTCAGAAGGTCAAAGAAAACACAATCTCGTACCTTGTGGGTCGTGAATTAGATGAATTGCTGAAAAATTAAACACTTCAGGATGTTTCTTCTTTTTATGTTTCTGTATAAAAAATAAGTATACATTTTTAAGCAGACAATAAACACCAGGATACAGTGGTTAGAATCACAAATACTAGAATTGTCATGAGCAAGCCGGAAATTCAGGACAACCAAACCCCTTTAATAAGAAATGCAAATGTCAAGTTTCTAAATGCCTACATCACCTGTCTTTAGCAAACTCAATGAAAACACACTTTAATTAGAACATTTTTACACTTTTGTATTATTCCTCCTTTTAAGTTCATTTTAATAAGGTGCAGAGCAAGTACCTCAGAAACGATATGTTACAGTATTAACTAACTGATAAAACTAAAAAATTAATAGTTTCACATTGCACTATGCATGACTAACAAATGTACTTTATTACCCAACACAGGTCTGCTGTAATGTGCTTACTTTCAGAACTTTCATGGCCTTTTCCAGTTTTCTTTTGTATTTTGTGTTTTTCTTGCCAGTTGTGTACCTCGTGATTATGTCTCGAGCCGTAGGGCCGTCATCCTGAAAGAAAATGATGCAGAATTTCATTAAACAGAAACAGTCCTACCCACTTACGTTGACATGTCAGGACCATTCGAGTTTTGTCAACAGAGGCAGTTTGTCGACACAGGCGGTCACAAGTGGACAATGGGTATTCTGCTGTGATTGGAATTTCTGTACCGTTTGACTGCATGTACTTTCATTGATTTATTTAAAAACAAAGTCGGAATTAAAATTCCTGAACCATTTATTTAGATAGATTTTGTTACCTTATTTACAAAAAAAGTTAATTTATTTACAAAAAGTCATGTAAGTAAAAAAAATAGTAATTTAGGAGTACATTGTCAACATTGTGGCAATGAAACAATGCCCTTAATACTGTTTGGAACCTAAATAATTGTCGACATAAGTGCACTGGAGTTTATGGCGACATCAACATAGATGGTAATTTTTGAGTATTAATGCGCGGAGAAGGAACTGGAACTTCACTTTTTTTTCAATATAAGCAGCATGTTAACATAAATGTTCAATATAAGTGGACTGACTGTAGGATTGTAGCTCTCAAGCTCTTTCGCTGGCCTAGTGGATCAAAGCAACCACTGGTGCCTGAAGAGGGAGGGTGTAAATGAGGAAAAGGAGGACCGTATCTCCGGGATGGAAGAAAAAACGAGTCAAACTTCCTCTGGGAGAAAATTTTATATTTATGTGTTCTTGTCCTGCACACTTAACTTACTTTGAAGTATTAGACTGGAATCACTTTTAAAACAAAATATTATAAACTCGATCCAAATGTCAGCATCAGACATACCTCGGATTCTGAATCACTATCCTTCTCATCTTCATCTTTACCAAGAAAGAATTTCAGAGCAGCAACCAAGATCTGAAACAAAAACAGTCTGTATGATGAAGTTCATGCAGCAACAATAAATCTATCACTCTATTCTGAGATCTCAAGTTCCACCCAGATTTAGCATGCAAGACAATCTTTTAAAGATTGTTGAAAAATCTTTAACGATAATTCTTAAATTCATTTGGAAGATGAAAGTTGATAAATCTGGAAAACCAAATTTAAGAATTTTCTCTAATTTTGCATGATCTTAAATTTTATTAATAATACTTGTATTTAATATAGCGCCTTATCATGCCTTTGAGAAGTCTCAAAGCATTTCACAGAATATACTGTAAAGTGAATTGACTGTGTATTTTGTGGGCAAAACATGGCAGCCAATTGCGCACAGCAGTGTCCCACAAACAGTCGTGGACTGAGTTACCAAATTATTTTTATTATTTTTTTGAAGGAATTATTACCCCCGAAAAAGCAATCCACCAATTGTCTAACAACCGGGTTCCTACTTACTGCTAGGTAAACAGAGATGTGTGGAGTGAGGAAATTTGCCTAATGTCGTGTCCTGCATGGAAATTGAACCTAGGTCTTCTTGCTTGTGAGGCGAGTGTTCTAACCAATACGCTACAGAACTCCACAAGTGCTATCTAAGACGAGGTGGCATTGAGCTTTGTGACGTTCCATTTCAAAATTTTATAAATTATATACATACTAAAACCCCAGCTAGTCGGACTCAATGGGGGGAAGCGGGGGGAGGAGATCCGGTTTAGCAAGCCAGAATTACACTTATTGAGCCGGCTAAGTGTAATTACAATGCCACTACCAGCATTTACTGGCTTTTTCAGTAGCGGATTTTTTCAGTGCTGAAAATTGCCGGTATCAGCATTATAACTGTTTGAATTCCATGAGCAGAAGGTAGCGAATAAGCTGTCACGGGATTCAAACTGAGTCAAAGTCGGTATCCCTGGCCACCGAAGGCCAACAGGCTCGGTGAGGAAGGAGTACATGGCTAGGAGATTAGGCTCGTGGATATCTACATGTGGGAATTTTTTTAAAAAAGTTTCCATTTAAAGCCGGGTTCAGCCAGATTTGAATTCCGGATAGAGTCCGTCCCCTTAGCTGAGCGCTTACTGTATTGTTGTTCCTTCCCCTCCCATCCAAGTAGTTCTCATAGATAGTCAACAACAACTTGCATTTATATAGCACCGTTGATGTAGGATGTCATCAAAACGGTCCTGATCTACTTACCTTTGTTACTTTTGAGAAGCAAGCTGTTGTAATGACATTGACAGTTTTTGCATCATTCCTGTAAGCAAGGCAACATTAATAGAGTCAGTGCAATATTACTCCTCATTCACACACATTGTAGACAGTTTTCCTCTCTCTCACCCTGCCCTTTTTTCTAAATTCTTTTTCCAATGACTGGGGTGAGGCTTCAAAGCAGCTTTGACGCTTCAGTATCTTGCCCAAACATCATTGTTTTTGAAGGATTATTCGATAACACAGAAAAGAGAAGTGTAACTCATTCCAATAATCCAAATAATTACTGCCCCTTGGAAAAAAAGTGACAGGTTTACAAATTCATGCCTGAAACAACCAGATATGCCAGAGCATTAGAATTATTAGATTATAAATTCAGCATTTGTACCATGTGAATGGTTTAAAATTCCTGTAACTTTGACAAGTGTTGATGCTATTCTTAGAATTTATTCCCTTTCTCCCCTATCTCCTCTGACTTTCTTTAGAAGCCACTTATTACAACAACAGACAGGAGGATCAGCTGGTCTGGGTATGAGTGTTTCCAAGACTCAAATTAGCACATAGATTATTCAGCGGAATGTATAATTTAACCTACTTGGACAGGCAGAACTCTTCTTTCATGCCCAAGAATCTCACCTTTTCCACAAAACAAACACACTTTACTGATATTCAACTCTGCAGCTCCCTGGTTAAGAGAGTTGAATCTCAGTAAGGGTTAACCCAATTGAAGGTTAATTTCCAAATCTTCAATTATGGCAATTGTGGCAAACATAAACAACATACATGATTAACTATTCAAGAAATAAATCAACATGTATTTAGACATCTTAAGACAAGTTACATTTCTTCAAATATTAAGTGTTAAATCAAATAATTTCAGGTAGAAAATAAACTGTCACAATGCACAGCAGGTAAACTTACCAAATGTTCCTTTTGTACAGCTCTATCATTACATCCAGAGACATTTTGGCTGCAATAGTGTTGCTATCCCTCAACATGGTGTACATAAAATTTTGCAAAGTCTACAAAAATACAATCAAAGGTAAATGTAATCCTGATAGTATTCTAGATAGTATTCACAGTTCAGAACATTTTACACTACTTACATAAAACAGATGTGTTCCTACAAATAGTTAAATAGATAGTGCCTGTGTTTTGTTTGAGTCTAAATTACATCAAACCCAAGTACACTGCCCGTCTTAATGCATTATTTTAAAGTGACATACATGCTGATTCAGTGCAGGAAACCGTGATGAATATGTTTGCCAGGAAACGTTCCTTGTCCGGCTGTTTCTACAAATGTTTGACCAAAGCAGCCTATCTACACATCTTTTCGCTACCGAGCATCCAGCCCTTAAGTTTGAGAACAAAATGGTATACAAAAGGAGCTGTCTCCTTGTGGAGGTTGACAGTGCATTAATATGCCTTTATACCGTTGGAAATAAAGCATCAAATGAGTTATCAGAGGAGCTTAAGAAAAAACTAATAAAGTAATTGGTGCTCCATATACATAGATATGGATTCATTATCTAACTGATTCCAATGGCATTTCGATAGCTAGCAATGTTGAGCATTGCTTTTCCTGCCACTAAATACTGTGATTTAGAAAGTTTGTATTGTTGCATCTCAATATCTCTATTGAAAGTGGATGACAAATGCTGCACAATGCAGAGATGTAAATTGAATTGTGCTGTGGGAAATCAATGAGATTGGGCCCGTAGTTTTCTTTTTACTAAAATAATAATAATTTGGTCATTCAATCCACGACTGTTTGTGGTACACTTCTGTGCACAATTGGCTGCCGAGTTTCGCCCACAAAATACACAGTCAATTCACTTTACAAATTATCCTGTGAAGTGCTTTGAGACATCTGGAAGATGTCATAAGGCGCTATATCAAATGCCAGGATATTTATTATTACGAAAAAGGAAGTTTTAAATAAGCAGCATTGGACTGGCAGAAGGCATATTCAAACGAGTGATGATCATCATGTAAACACTAAACACAAATAACACCAATAGAATAGAGGAGTACAGCATCCAAGGTCTACATGAACACACAGTACAAGATAAACCTATTAAACAGTTTAAGGTTGGGCAGAAACATATAACAGCACTTTATAACTTTTAAGACTTCCCAGGGTAACATCATTGACTGTTGAGTATGTATAACATACTCAATAAGACTACAAGTGGCAATTGTTTACTTGCCACAATATCACCGTCAGCTTCCATGTTTCTGTACCTTCAGATCGTCTTCATAGAATCATAGAATATTACAGCAGAGAAGGAGGTCATTCAGCCCATCGTGCCTGTGCTAGCTCTTTGGAAGAGCTATCCAATCAGTCCCACTCCCCTGCTCTTTCCCCAGGTCCTTGTAATTTTTTCCTTTACCTATCCAATTCCCTTTTGAAAGTTGTTATTGAATCTGTTTCCACCACCCTTTCAGGCAGTGCATTCCAGACCGTAACAACTCTCTGGTGTAAAATAAATTCTCCTCATCTCCCGTTTTTTCCCCCAATTATTTTAAATCTATGTCCCCTGTTTACCGACCCACCTGCCAGTGGAAACAGTTCCTCCCTATCTACTCAATCAAAACCCCTCATCATTTTGAACACCTCTATTAAATTTTCCCTTAACCTGCTCTGCTCTAAGGAGAAAAATCCCTCTTTTCTCCTTAGAGCAGAGAAGGTTAAGGGAAGATTTAGCTTCTCTAGTCTTGAATATTAATTTTGAAATATGAAATCATTGAATTTTATGCTGACAAGTCATAAGATTAGGAGAATTATTTCACACAAAGGATATGGAATGTGTTATATCAGGACTCTACTGTACTTATTAATAAACCCATTTAAATGACTAAGGAAATATATTTATTATGCTTTATATACTTACTGTGTTTACTTTGTTGTTTTTGTGTTTGGCATTGATATTCTTAATGTCTGTCACAATATGAGTATACAGCATCTTAAAAAAATGATAAACAAAGGTACATATGAAATTCGGAAATGTAATGGATATTTCAAAAATACTTTCCAACGACTTTTTTGACAATATACCTGTCTTAGAAGTTTGTCTTGGCATCTCAGGAGTTCAAAGAATAATTCCAGCAAACTGGTAGGATTAAGAAGCCCCTTATTTCTCAACAAGATCAAAGCCTTACATAATGTCTAAAAAAAAGGTAAAAAACAAATCAAAATTAAAAGCACAAAGTGTAAATAAGATGCTTCACTCCTCCACCCCCAACCCCACCACTCTATAGCATTAATGTTTTATAGCAACCAAACATCCATTAAATCGGATTATCTGCATATTCACAACTCTGCCAATGTGAATTGAATCATTGCAGCTCCTTAAATATTATTCCATCAGAGTACAATATTGATGTCATAGAGGGAATTAGAACACATGAAATAAGAGAATTTTTAAACAAGATTTTAATCAGAGAAAGAAACCATAAATTTCAGAGAAGCGTGCTCTGTTTGAATCATAGAATTATACAGCACAGAAGGAGGCCATTCGGCCCATTGTGTCTGTACTGGCTCTTTGAAAAGAGCTATCCAATTCAATCTCACTCCCCCACTTTCTCCCCATAGCCCTGCAAACTTATCCTCCCCAAATAATTACCATCAATGCTGTAATGGTTCAATTCACACTGGGAGAGTTGTGAATATGCAGATAACCTGATTTAATGGATGTTCCACCACAAAATGCAAAATCCACTTTACAATATATTCTGTGAAGAGCTTTGATTTGTCTCAATGATGCGATAAGTCACTATATCAAATGCAAGGATTATTATTATAAAAGAGGTATGTAAGTGGTGCAGGATTCAGTTGGTGCTTGTCCAGAAGACCTGATGCTTCAGTAAGAAATACATAGTTTGTTTTCTGATTTAGAGATATGTGTAACCTCTATTCATTGCTTACATGGTAAAATGTCCTCCAAAAAACACAATAAACCTTTCTAGCACTTAAACAGTACAATATTATGGCTCATGTTTTGAATTCTATTTATCAGTGTAGGTGATTAAGAAGGTAGATATCTGCTTACAGAAGTGAAAACCAGGCTTACGTTTAGCTAACCTGTCACAGAGTATTGCTGGAAATATTAGTCACATATAGCTCACCATTCGCAGGTCTGGTACCAGAACTGTGTGGTGAGAGAAAAGCAACTCCTTTAGTTCCTGGGCAAAGTTAGCTAACCTCACTGGGTAGCAATGTGCAACCTGTTGATTATAATAAAAACATGATATTCAAACAGTTTTGCTGAGCTTATTTCCCCATAGAAAATTGTAATATTTTATAATGGTACCATTCTGAAAATAGATGCATAATTAATCCCGAATAGCCAGAAGAATGGCTATTGCAGGTTTCATATAGCAAGCCAATTAAAATACAATTAGTTCTAGTGTTCCCCTCTTTCGATGGCTTCTGCACAGCCATTGTTTAAAGTGGTATCTTTGCAATCAGATCACTGTGTAAGCAGCTGTATGTTCAGGCCCATCGGCAGCATTGTGTGTTGCAGCATTCCTGAGACTTGGCATTATACAAAAAGTTAATGAGTATTTATTTAAATAAACTCGAGAGAATCACATCTTTAATGTTATAAGGAATACTCTTAATTGTGCTCATGTCCCCACCCTATCATCGACAGGTGGGTACCCTTTAAGCTTTTTTGTCCCTGCTCTCTGGAACTGCATCCCGGAGTCCCTCTGACTCGCTCATTCCACTTGTTCAAGCCAGGTCTCCAAATGTACCTCTTCGGTTCAATATTTGGTCAACTTTTCCCCTACCCCGTCAGCTCCCACCCCCAAATCAGATGGCCACCCAGCAATGTCAAGCGCTTTGAGTCGTGCTCCTGACATGAAAGGATCTATATCAATGTCAATTGTATAGTATTGAGAATAGAATGCACCCATATTGATTTGTGGGGATTTCTAGTCATTTTACTGTAGATAAATAAACATACTTGTGCCAAGAACATCACCAGTTCCGACAGCTCCTTATTTGGCTTGTCTGGTTGCAGCTTAAATATCTGTACATTGGACTGGTAGTGGCGAAACTGCTGTAGAAACTGAGAGAGAAAGGTAAAAATAAATCCAACTTACACATTTAATGACAAATTAATTATTATGGAAATACAATAGTTCTGTTTATCGAGTAACATTTAACGGTTCCAAATGGTTTTCAACACATCACTCAACCTATTTGATGTGCATCAGTTAATATACCTGTACCATCACATACAAAGGCACACAATAATTACAGACCAACATTGCTCTTTCATTTTAGAGTTGCTTGAATGTATTTATAGTACAGTAATTATCTTCCTGGTTTGGAGGGAGAAAGAAGAGGTAAGTGGGGTCTCCTTAGAATTGGACTGGCTCCAAGGTGACGGCTTGGCAATAAAATGTCGGAATCTCGTCATTCCTCTGGCGGTCCTGAGCCAGACTGGTCCACAGTACTCTGCTGATGACACACTAGTCAATAGCCTGGTTTGTTGGTAGGATTTGGAGGGCCAAAAAAAGCCTGGATGTAAAATTAATGGAGATTTTTGGGATTCCACTCAAGAACATGAAGAGCAGAGATCAAAGGATTATGGAGAGAGAGCGGAGGGTGGCAGAGAGAGAGGAGGGTGACAGAGAGAGAGAGAGAGAGAGGAGGGTGGCAGAGAGAGAGAGCGGAGGGTGGCAGAGAGAGAGGAGGGTGGCAGAGAGAGAGAGAGAGAGAGGAGGGTGGCAGAGAGAGAGAGAGAGCGGAGGGTGGCAGAGAGAGGAGGGTGGCAGAGAGAGAGAGAGAGCGGAGGGTGGCAGAGAGAGAGAGAGAGGAGGGTGGCAGAGAGAGAGGAGGGTGGCAGAGAGAGAGAGAGCGGAGGGTGGCAGAGAGAGAGAGAGAGGAGGGTGGCAGAGAGAGAGAGAGAGCGGAGGGTGGCAGAGAGAGAGGGAGGGTGGCAGAGAGAGAGAGAGAGAGAGGGTGGCAGAGAGAGAGGAGGGTGGCAGAGAGAGAGGAGGGTGGCAGAGAGAGAGAGAGCGGAGGGTGGCAGAGAGAGAGAGAGAGAGGAGGGTGGCAGAGAGAGAGGAGGGTGGCAGAGAGAGAGAGGAGGGTGGCAGAGAGAGAGAGAGGAGGGTGGCAGAGAGAGAAAGGAGGGTGGCAGAGAGGGAGGGGGAGAGGAGGGTGGCAGAGGGAGGAGGGGGAGGGGAGGGTGGCAGAGAGGGAGGGGGGAGAGGGAGAGGGTGGCAGAGAGGGAGGGGGGAGAGGAGGAGGGGGAGAGGAGGGTGGCAGAGAGGGAGGGGGGGAGAGGGGGAGGGGGAGAGGGGAGGGGGAGAGGGTGGCAGAGAGGGAGGGGGGAGAGGGGGAGAGGGAGAGGAGGAGGGGGAGAGGGTGGCAGAGAGGGAGGGGGGAGAGGGGGAGGGGGAGAGGGTGGCAGAGAGGGAGGGGGGAGAGGGGGAGAGGAGGGGGGGAGAGGGTGGCAGAGAGGGAGGGGGGAGAGGGGGAGAGGGAGAGGGGGAGGGGAGAGGGTGGCAGAGAGGGAGGGGGGAGAGGGGGAGAGGGAGAGGAGGAGGGGGAGAGGTGGCAGAGAGGGAGGGGGGGAGAGGGGGAGGGGAGAGGGTGGCAGAGAGGGAGGGGGGGAGAGGGGGAGAGGAGGAGGGGGAGAGGGTGGCAGAGAGGGAGGGGGGGAGAGGGGGAGGGGGAGAGGGTGGCAGAGAGGGAGAGGGGGAGAGGGAGAGGGGGAGGGGGAGGGGGAGAGGGTGGCAGAGAGGGAGGGGGGGAGAGGGTGGCAGAGAGGGAGGGGGGAGAGGAGGAGGGGGAGAGGGTGGCAGAGAGGGAGGGGGGGAGAGGGGGAGGGGGAGAGGGTGGCAGAGAGGGAGGGGGGGAGAGGGTGGCAGAGAGGGGGAGGGGGAGAGGGAGAGGAGGAGGGGGAGAGGGTGGCAGAGAGGGAGAGGGGGGAGAGGGGGAGGGGGAGAGGGGGAGGGAGAGAGGGAGAGGGGAGGGTGGCAGAGAGGGAGGAGAGAGGGGGAGGGGAGGGTGGCAGAGAGGGAGGAGAGAGGGGGAGGGGAGGGTGGCAGAGAGGGAGAGGAGGGGAGGGTGGCAGAGAGGGAGAGGAGGGGAGGGTGGCAGAGAGGGAGGGGGAGGGGAGGGTGGCAGAGAGGGAGGGGGAGGGGAGGGTGGCAGAGAGGGAGGAGAGAGGGGGAGGGAGGGTGGCAGAGAGGGAGAGGAGGGGAGGGTGGCAGAGAGGGAGGGGGGAGGGGAGGGTGGCAGAGAGGGAGGAGAGAGGGGAGGGGAGGTGGCAGAGAGGGAGAGGAGGGGAGGGTGGCAGAGAGGGAGAGGAGGGGAGGGTGGCAGAGAGGGAGGGGGAGGGGAGGGTGGCAGAGAGGGAGAGGAGGGGAGGGTGGCAGAGAGGGAGGGGGAGGGGAGGGTGGCAGAGAGGGAGAGGAGGGGAGGGTGGCAGAGAGGGAGGGGGGAGGGGAGGGTGGCAGAGAGGGAGGAGAGAGGGGGAGGGAGGGTGGCAGAGAGGGAGAGGAGGGGAGGGTGGCAGAGAGGGAGAGGAGGGGAGGGTGGCAGAGAGGGAGGGGGAGGGGAGGGTGGCAGAGAGGGAGGAGAGAGGGGGAGGTGGCAGAGCGGGGGAGGGGGGAGCGCTGTGTGTGTGTGTGTGTGTGACTGACCTCCTCGCTGTAGGCCTGCGGGTCCCTCTTGAGCAGGTTCTGGAGCTGGGCGAGGCTCCCCGGCAGCCTGTTGCTGTTCCTGGCTCTGGCCGAGGCGGTTGACATGGCGACCGTCTCCCCGTGTCCGCGGCTCCTCACCACGTGCCGCCCCGCGCGGCCTCGCACCGCCGCCTGCACAACGGCAGCGCCGCGCGGACAAACGGCCGCGGGAGCGCGCGATCTCAAAACCCCATCTGTCTGTCTGTCTGTCTGCAAAGCCACAGTGGCAGCACCAGCCTTGACCACTGACAGAGCGCCCTGGGACCTTAGGAATAATAATAATAATAATAATCCTTGCATTTGATATAGCACTTTTCACGTCGGGAGGACGTCCCAAAGCGCTTCACAGAACACACTGTAAAATGAATTGACTGTATATTTGTGGACGAACGCGGCAGCCAATTGCGCACAGCAATGTCCCACAAACAGTCGTGGATTGAAAATGACCAATTTATTATTGTTTTTGGTTTTGGAGAGATTATTATTAGGCTCTGTGTGGAGTAAGGAAACTTGCCCAAGGTTTCGCCCTCTGCCTGGAATTGAACTCAGGTCTCTCGCTTGCAAAGTGAGTGCTCTAACCACTGAGCTACAGGACTCCACTAATGGCTACCGGAATGTGAACAGGTACTGGAATGTGATCAGATAACTAGATTGGCAGTACAAGTGTCTCAGTTGGTAGTACTCTCGCCTCAGAATCAGTAGATTGTGGGTTCAAGCCCCACAACGGCATTTGGAACCCACATACTGACACTGTGCTGAGGGTGTGCTGCTTATCACAGATGTCGTACTTCTGATGAGGTGTTAAACTGAGGTCCTATCTGCCTGTCCAGTGGACATTAAAGATCCCATAGTACTATTCGAAAAGAGAAGGTAGTTTCTCCTGGTGTGCTGGCCGACAATTCCCTAAATAAAATTGGTCACACACACTACGTAGGTGGTTGTGGGACATTGATGTGTGCAAATCAGTCTTGATGACACTTCTTAACCCCCTCCTGCTACCGACAGATAAGACAGATGGTCTGACAATCACTGCAAAGCGAGTGCTCTAACCACTGAGGACTCCACAAAGACGGCTCAAAGGAATACACTAGATGTAGAGTCAATGACTGCGTATGTTGTTGGCAAACATACAGCGGTAGAGCTGCAGCGCTTCTTTTTTTGACCCTTGGAATAATGACCGAGCTGACTGAAATCAGCAGAGTCCTTATTCCAAGGGTCGAAAAGACCCTTGCAACAGAAAGTTCTAATCGTTAACAACCCCCCCGCGTAAAATTGTTCACTTTATAGCTGTGTTCTGGGCATTGCAAATTTGCCGCTGCTTTCTGCCGCAAACACACAGTCACTACACTTTACCAGTAACATCCCGTGAAGGGCTTTGAGATGTTCCGGCAACCTGCGCAGACTTATTATTTATAAGTCCAGCTGAATTTATTGCCACAATTTTTTGTGTGAAAAAATATTTAATCTCTTTAGTTATTACTGTATTATTCTTCCAAATTATTCTTGAAGACAACGGGTAGGAAGCTTGCATCTCCCTTTCTGTGACTGTGCTACAAGAGATAGTTACTCAGGTGTCTCAAGCTCTCTGGAAAGCTACTCTATATGAAGGGCGCTATATAAATCCAAGTTGTTGACTCACATTCCTATTTCTCTTCCCTAAGGCTGTTTGACAACCGCTTTAGAGAAGAGAAATAGGATTGATGAGAAATTCTGCAAGTTTGAAAAGTGGGGGGAGGTGGAGTGGTGATGTGTTGGTGGAGAGAAAAAGTCCATATTTGGACACTGGAGATGTGAGAATGGATAGATATTCTGGGATATTTGCTTAATTACTTTTGAAGATATTGTTGAATGAGAAAGTGTCCAAATCCATACTACAAACAGAAAGACAGAGAGTGGGAGATAATAATAATAATAATAATCCTTGCATTTGATGTAGCGCTTTTCACGTCTTCCAGACGTCTCAAAACTCTTCACAAAATAGACTGTAAAGTGAATTGACTGTATGTTTGTGGGCGTTGTTCAGCGCCTTGGGACGTCCTCCTGACGTGAAAGGCGCTTTATAAATGGAATCTTGTTGTTGTTGTTGTTGTAATGCGGCAGCCAATTGCGCACAGCAGCGTCCCACAAACAGTCGTGGATTGAAATGACCAAGTTATCATTGTTTTTTTTGAGGGATTATTATCAGGCATATTGAGTAAGGAAACTTGCCCAAGGTTTCATCCTGCCGGGAATCGAACCCAGGTCTCTCGCTTGCAAAGTGAGTGCTCTAACCACTGAGCTACAGAACTCCATGATGAACAGCAAGCCAGCGAGCAAGAGAGGAAGTGCTGTGATTGAGAAAGAGAAAGACATGCTGGGATGCTATTTCTTCCTGTGATTCTATGATCGGATTCTTTAATAAGGAATTCCTTCGAAAACATGACACACTACAAGTTACTGGAAAAGTAACTGAAATTCTTTGTTACAGAAAATGGACAGCATCTTGGACATTTAACAGTGGTGGAGCCCAATGCCGAGTGAGGGGGAGGGTGATCTTGGCAAGGTTGAAGAGGAAGGTCTTCAGGCACCACCTGAAAATGGGGAGAGGGGGCAAGGCAAAGGGATTGAGGGAGAGAGTTCCACAGCATTGGGAAGTAGTGGCTGAAAGCATGGCCGCCGATGGTGAAAAGACCACTGCGGAGGATTACTTTAGAAGCAGAACTAGAGAATAAAACAGGAGAAAACAGAATTCGTTTATGACTATTTTAAGGAAATAATTGGAAAAGTACCTGTGAGTAAAAAAATAAGTAATTAATGACTGGAACAGGTTGCTAAAAAGAGTGCTAGAGGCCAGGACACTCATTAAAAAGTGTGATGGGAAGACGGTAGGGTTGATCTTCTGGAAGGATGAGATCAGATGGGCTGAAGGGCTTTCTTCATCAATTTAATATTGTGGTCCTGTGTGATTTTGTATATTAAAAAATCATAGAATTATACAGCACAGAAGGAGGCCATTTGGCCACAGTGTCTGTGTCGGCTCTTTGAAAAGAGCTTCCAAATCAATCCCATTCCCCTACATTCTCCCCATAGTTCTGCAAACTTGTCCTCCCTAAATAATTATCTACTTCTCTCTTAAAGGTTGTTATCGAATCAGCTTCCAACACACTTTCAGGCAATGCATGCTAGATCTGAACAACTTGCTGTGTGAAAACATTTCTCCTCCCCTCCCCTCTGTTTCTTTTAACAACTATTTTAAATCGGTGTCCTCGGGTTACTGACCTACCCACCAATGGAAATAGTTTCTCCTTGTTCATCCTATCGAATCCCCTCATAATTTTGGAAACTTCTATTAAGTCTCCTCTTAACCTTCTCTGCTCCAAGGAGAATAATCCTGGCTTCTCTAGCCTCTCCCGATAACTGAAGTCCCTCATTCCTGGTACCGTCCTGGTAAATCTTCTTTGCACCCGCTCCAATGCCTTGACATCCTTCCTAAAGTGTGGTGCCCGGAACTGAGCACAGTACTCTCGCTGAGGCCTAATCAGTATTTTATAAAGGTTCATCATAACTTCCTGACTTTGTATTCTATGCCCCTATTTATAAAGCCTAGTAACCTGTATGCTTTTTTAACAGCTTTATCTACCTGTCCTGCCACCTTCAAAAATTTACTTATATGAACACCCAGGTCTCTCTGTTCCTTCACCCCCTTTAAGATTCTACCATCAGCTTATATTGCCTCTCTTCATTCTTCCTCACAAAATGCATCACTTCATATTTCTCCACATTAAACTTCATCTGCCACGTGTCTGCCCATTTTACCAATCTGTCTATGTCCTCTTGAAGTCTGCTACTGTCTGCTACTATCCTCCTCACTGTTTACCAGTTTTCCTAGCTTAGTATCATCTGCAAACCTGGAAATTGTACTCCCTATACCCAAGTCCAGATCATTTATGTAATCCCGATACCGACCCCTGGGGTTCCCCCCAGGCAGAAAAACAACCATTCACCACCACTCTCTGCTTCATGTCTCCCAGCTGGTTCTGTATCCATGCTGCCACTGTCCCTTTAATACCGTGGGCTTCTATTTTGCTTACAAATCTCTTATGTGGCACTTTATCAAACACATTTTGAAAATCCATGTAAACTACATGGACTGCACTGTCTTCATCCACCCTCTCCGTTGCGTCAACAAAAAACTCTATCAGGTTTGTTAGACATGATTTGCCTTTAACAAATCCGTGTTGGCTGTCCTTGATTAACTCATATTTTTCTAAGTGAAAATTTATTTTGTCCCGGATTATAGTCTCCAGAAGTTTCCCCACTACAGACATTAGGGTGACTGGCCTGTAGTTCCCGGGTTTATCCTTCTGCCACTTTTTGTACAGGGGAGTAAGAGTTGCAACCCTCCAGTCGTCTGGCACCATGCCGGTGTCCAAAGAGAATTGAAAGATTGTGGCCAGAGCCTCCATTATTTTTATTCTTACTTTTTTTTAGTAAATGTATTTGTTCTGTCCCTGAACTATCTTCTCCTTGAAGGCTTCCCATTGCTCGTTAGCTGTTTTACCTGCCAATCTTTCTTTCCAGCCCACCTTGGCTAGGTCCCTTTTTAACTCACTGCGATTCACTTGGGATTTTTACTCTTGTTTGCTGTAAGCACTGTAGCCTCATTTCAGTAATGATAATCTTTACATTTGATATAGTGTCTTATTACACTGAAGCATCACAAAACGCTTAAAATAGTTTTGACTATAACATGCAGTGACTGTATATTTGTATTTAAACCTGTCAGCCAATTTGTGCACAGAAATGTCCTACAAACAGCCATTAGGTGAATGACCCTTTGTTTATTTGGACATTTATTGGCCAGGATTGTACATCTATCTATATTATATAAAACGAGCTGTCTCTGTCCAAAGCAGTGAACCTTCACTGTGCCAGACAAATGTAGGTGAGCTTGTTGCTGCATTTAAGAGAATAGAGATGCAGTGTTAAAACTACATCATTATATTTTAACATGAACTGCTGACTGAAGGTTGCAGCTTGAGTTTCAGGACATATTAGACACAGTTTCCTGGGATGGCTGTAATCCTCAGCAATTTACTCCACTGGCTGCTCTGGTATGAGGAAACAAATTGAACTTTGGGTGGGGTTAGAGTTTCCCTTTTAAGAGACACGGAAATAGCTCTGTTTAAGTAATGTGTGACATTGAAAATACTGTACACCAAATCTCCCAACACATCGCATCGCAAGCTCAATACTGTACTGACAACACCATCTTCATCTACAGCACCAGGCAGCTGCTGCTCAATAAACATAAGTAAGTAAGAATGTGTCGCAGGTATTGAACTATGTGCTTATACACGAGTATCAGTACATGTACTTTCCCATGTAAAGATTGCAGTATTTGGACTGCTGCGATCTATAGCTGTTTCGGGATAGGTCCCCAAGTAAACAAGGTTATTATTTATTGGAAGCCACAATAAATCCACACCTATCATGTATTAATGTTCTGATTTGTTGGGTGAAGAGTTAGAAATTGACAACTGCTGCTCGGTATGACCTGACCTGCCAAATGTCAATCAACTCTCACTTTTGGAATGAAAAGATTTTTGATGTAGGTACTCTTAATATAAATACAGGTCCCTTTGTTTGAATTATTGGTACTTTTTCCCGCAAATAAACACAAAAGGGACAGTTTCTTTGCACTGGTGAGTTTCGTGCACACGTAGTTCCTGGAATTTTACAGCAAATGTTTCTAAGGGTTGCAGATCCCTTTCCAACAGCTGTGCTCTTTGCTTTCTTTCCAAGGTTTGCAAGTTAGGTGGCATTGATATTTAGTTCAGATTGGCACAGCAAAATGGGTTACGAATAGCTTGGCACTTAATAGCTCCGAGACCCTACCCCGCGAGAAGGGCGCTATATAAATGCAAGTTGTTGTTGTACTGTGCTCTCCAATTGTGTTGTTGAGCATCATTGGGGATTACCTTCTATGTAAAGAGGGCAAGTTGTCTTGGGCAAGGTCTTGGGCAAGGTGCTTATCCATTTACTAGAATACTAGAGATAACTGCCAGGTTGGAGTGGCTGATGCTTTTTTATTACTAGCAATTGTGCCAAGGTACTCTCCACATGAAGAATATTGCTGACCTTGAAGGCTGGGACTGACTGTGCGACAGCAGTCAGTGTGGTCTCAATGACAGATGGTGTAATCAAAGATTTTTTTGATTCTGCAGCTGAAGCAAACTGAAGCTACAGGCTACAAGCCTCCCTACAAAGCAAGATCCTGTCAAGGTGACTGCTAAAGGAAGGAGAACTGAAACTTTAAAGCTTTAAAGTTCTTTAAAGCAGGACTAAAAGCTTCCTCGGACAAAACTAGGAACAGTCAAAAGAAGGTTACAACCACTAAAATGAGAGGTTTATTTGGGAAATGAAGTGGGATCAGTGAGTTGCATCACTTTGTAAAGGAATGCAACTAGACATGAATGCATGGTGACCTCTTCAGAATTTATAAAGTGCCTTATTAGTTACTATTGCAACTAACAAAATACTGAATCTATCCTGATGCTTTAGTTGGAAGAAAAGTCATTTTGCCAGGTGAAATTGCTCAGTCAGTTGATTATAATACATTACAGCCAGGTTCTAAGGTGTTTTATTATTGTTGTGGCTGGTTTGTTTATAATGTGTTTGGGGTGTGGATCCCATTCACTGTATATATGCACAGCCAAGTGCATATGCACTGCCCATGCACCTGCTCAGCACACAGGAAGTCATGCGGATATCATCCTGATGACTTGGAAATTGGTAACTTTATTAGGGTGGAAACTAGCTGGTGCACAGGAAGCAGGCTGGTGTCTGCACACAAACACATAGCCTCATTATAAGGCGAGTGGAGATTTGGGACGCCCCCAACTATTGCCTTATTATGAGGCTCCACCATAAAAACAACAAATAGCATTTACATGGGGAAAGGGGTAATGGGAAAGTGACTGAAGGCACAGTCAAAGAGGAAGGTCTTGAAATAATGAAGTCTTACTTATTGTGATCACTGTATTTGACATCGTACCTGTAACATTAAATTGTCTTGATCAGATGTTGGTTGACTTGCTGTGGATTTCCAACATTTTCTGTTCTATTGGGAATATATACAATACAAATTTACATTAATGGAACGCTTTTCACATTGGGAGGACATCCAAAAGTCCTTGACAGTCTTGGCTTGGCACCTGAGCTGGAGTCGAGAAGGGAAAGATGACTGAAGGAATGGTCGAAAAGAAGGTGTTGGTACAGATACCAAAACTTACCACCCATTCTGCGCTGCTCTGAGGAAGACACATTTTTGGCTAATGTCACAACAAGCATTGTGGTGGAGTTTCAGCCTGAGTTCACAGAACCTGCAACATTTTTATGAAATGTTTCCATTATCTACATCCACCATGCTTATGCCTCTCCGGGCATTTACTGAGGCTGGTAATCACATTATTGTGTTGTGGTTTGATGTTTGGTCCTACTTGAAGTTCAGGTTGAAACTACTCAAACTATTACATTTAGTCAGGTGAGAGATAGATTATAAGTCAAGCTCTAGAGCAGTGTTGTAATCCATTGCAGCTTTTCCCCAAGGAATGTGTTATTATGGGCTAACAAAATCAGTGATATAGCACAAGAACAGGCTGTTGGGCCATCATATCTATGATGGAATTTTTCTCCACGTGAGTCATCTAATCTAATCCCAGAGTCCTACTCGCTCCTTCTCCCCTTTAATATTCCTCCCTTTCAAACAGCTGTCTGATTGCCTTTTAAACAAATTCATGGACTTTTCATTTAAAGAGCAACTAATATGCGTAGGCAGATGTTTGCTTTAGTGTGAAGATTTGCAGATTGACGAGGGCAGTGTTTCACTTAAAACTACAATTTGAATTATAAATGAGATCATCCATTAACATCTCTCATAATTGCTTGATGTTTTCAGACTGAAGAATGAAGCTCTCAGTGCTTGGGGCTACAGGACAAACTGGACAGTTTCTCGTGAGACAAGCTCTGGAACAGGGCCACATGGTGACGGCAATTGTGAGAACTCCCAGCAAACTCACTGTTCAGCATGACAACCTGAAGGTACCCAATATACTGGGTTGAAAGAGATTTTCATGCACTCCACGGTGGCCAGTGCTTTGGGATGTCCTCCCATCGTGAAAGGCGCTATATCAATGTAATTTGTTTGTTTGGTGCTCACTGTACGTTGTGAGTGACTCTGTCATTGATTCACTTTGTTCAACTGGAAACATTTCAAGGCGGAGCTGGATAGATTTATGGTGAAGGAAGTGAATTGAGATAAGATTAGGTGGCACATGTGGATTAAAATACCATCATAGATATGATGGCCAAACAACATGTTCTTGTGCTGTTTCAAAACTCTTAAGTGAATTGAGGGTATTAGAGAGAGGGAGTATCTTTGGGATTGGCTGGGTGGATTGTGGTGGTCTTTTCTGGTTCTATACATTCCTGGGTTCCCCTGTAGTAATAATAATAATAATCCTTGCATTTTAAATAGCCCGTCATTATATCTTTGAGACGTCTCAAAGTGCTTCACAGAATATATTGTAAATTAAACTGACTGTATATTTTGTGGGTGAAACGCGGCAGTGTCCCACAAACAATCGTGGATTGAGTGACCACATTTTTCTTAGCCAATCGACTACCAACCAGATTCCTACTCACTGCTAGGTAAGCAGAGGCGTGAGTCTGGGTCGAATTTTTAAAGGGTTCCTTCTAAATTTGCATTTCTTGCAGGTAGTAGAAGCAAACATCTTCTCTGAAGACAGCCTTGTGGAGCACTTTAAGGAGCAGGATGCTGTCTTGTCCTGCCTTGGGTTCCCACTGAGCATATTTTCTCGAGCTACTGGATACACTGACTCAATGAAAGCTGTGGTTGTTGCCATGCGTCAAGCAAAAGTGAATCGGATGATAACAATGACATCCTGGTACACAAAGCGTGAGTCAGTCTGAGATTGACATTTGCCTTCAAAACTCTCAAATGTATTACAGCTTTTTTAAGAAAAAACATACTTCTTACTAGATACTGTTGTTTTAATCTTTAGCAAGGAATTAAAGGAATTCCAATCAATCCACAGAAAGCTCACACTTTCTGTATTGTATTGTATCGGTTTGCCGCACTTATGAAAAGCTTCCATTTGTGTGACTGAATTCCCTGATAAGCAAACCTATTGTGAAACACTGCAAATCATACTCCATTTCATCTGTGTGAATATGATTGCCATACATAGGAACATAGGACATAGGAACATAGGAATTACGACCAGGAGTAGGTCATTTGACCCCTCAAGCCTGCTCCGCCATTCAATAAGATCATGGCTGATCTTCTAACCTAACTCCACCTGCCAGCCTTATCCCCATGTCCCTTAATCCCTCTATCCTTTAGAAATCTATCAATCTCAGTCTTGAATATGTTCAAGGACTGAGCATCTACAGCCTTCTGGGGTAGAGAATTCCATAAATTCACTACCTTGCCTCAACTCTGTTTGAAAAGGCTGACCCTATTCTTAAGACTGTGATCCCTAGTTATAGATTTTCCTACCAGGAGAAATAGTCTTGCACTGTCTACTCTGTCAAGCCCCATAAGAATCGTATATGTTTCCATACGATCACCCCTAATTCTTCTATATCCTAGAGAATATAGGCCTAGTTTACTCGACCTATCCTCATAGGTCAACCCCCTCATCCAGAAACTAACTTAGTGAATCTACACTGCACAACCTCTAAAGCGAGTATGTCCTTTCTTAAATAAGGAGATCAAAACTGCACACAATATTCTAGGTGCAATCTCACCAAGGCCCTATACAGTTGCAGCAAGACTTCCCTACTTTTGAATTCTAACTCTTTGGCAATAAACGCCAACATACCATTAACCTTCCTAGTTGCTTGCTGTACCTGCACACTAACTTTTTTATGACTGGTGTACAAGGACACCCAAATCCCTCTGAACACTAACACTATTTAGTCGCTCCCCCTCTAGAAAATAATCTGCTTTTCTGTTTTTACTACCTAGGTGAATAACTTCACACGTCCCCATGTTATATTCCATCTGCCACCTTCTTGCCCACTCACCTAGCCTATCTATATCCCTTTGCAATCTTTTTGTGTCATCCTCAGAGCTTACTCTCCCACCTAGTTTAGTATCATCCACAAATTTAGATATTTTAAGTCTTATGTCCTCGTCTGGATCATTGATACAGATTGTAAATAGTTGCGGCCCTCTATACATTGTGGAGCTGTGGTTTCTGGGGTTTATATCCAGATACATTTTGGGATTGAAACAGCCAATCTTAATCCCTTACACTAGAAACTGTACAGAACAAATATTAATCCTTAGTTTCCTGGGCTTCATTCTACAGACCCCAGGTTCTGTCTGGAATCATGAGGTACTTGGGAAGATCTGCCCATGTACGAAGGTTATACTGAGGAATGTTTCAGGGTCTACAGAGTAAAAATGTTTAGTTGTTTTACAGCTGAATCTGCTCGAAAGGCTTCTTTATTTGTGCAGTACCTCGTCGTTCCCGTCATTCACAATTTATTGATCAATATGGATGAGATGGAAAATTACTTAAGTGAGCAATGTGATGACCTCAATTGGACTGCAGTAAAACCACCGGGACTTCGGAATGGACCAGCAACAGGTTAGTGGTTTTGGTCTTTTGTTCATTTTTTGGTCAGTCAGGTGTCTGACACATGAGGAAATCTAACCAAGCGAAACAGTGTTTCTTGCATCCCACTTACACATGGAAATTACCCTATTGGGTGGGTTAATATGATAATTTCCAGGTGTGTAAATTGGATGGATGGATCTATCCAGGATTAGGAAGCAGGATGTGTGTTTTGTTTGTGACCCCCTCTCTCCACATATTGCATCCACACCTTGTTTTCTATTCATGCCAATGACCTTCATAGTTTGTGATCAGACAGAGGTACATTCTGCCTTGGATAGATCTGTACATTACAAGTTTTTCATTTTCTGCCGAGAGACAAAAAATAAGAATGGAAATCAGGAATAAAAACAGAAATGTTGGAAGTAGAGATTAATATTCATTCCTGCTGCCGAATTTGCATAGCTCTTCACAAAAGGATACATTTACTGTAAAAGGCAATTAGTTATAAGTATCAAACATAACAAGGATTTGTTATGACACTGTATTCATATTCTGCTCTTTTAAGCTCTGAGATATATAAATATATTAGTGTCTGACAGACATCAATGCTGGATGAGCTTAAACTTCCTGCAGCTGAATGTTGACAGACAGAAGTCATACTCTTTGGCTCCCATCAAAGTCTTCTCTCCTGCAGTTCAGACCTCTTCATCCTACCTGATCTCTTCCTAAGACTCACCGAAACCGTGCACAACTTAGGCGTCAAGTTCGACCTCCAGCTATCCTTCGTACCCCACATCCGGTCCCTGGCCAGAACCACTTTCCTCCACCTCCGCCGCATTGCCCGTCTTCCTCTGTACCTCACTCCAAAAGCTGCCAAAACCCTTGTCCATGCCTTTCTCACCTCCCACCTCAACTAGTCAAATGCCCTACTTGCTGGTCTCCCCTGCTCCACTATTCCCAAAATTCAACTAATTCAAAACTCCATCGCCCGCATTCTCACCTGCACTAAACTCTGTACCTCCATCACCCCAGTCCTTATCAAACTCCATTGGCTTCCTGTCACAGAGCGGACCGATTTCAAGATCCTCACTCTTGTATTTAAATCTCTTCAAGCCCTGGCACCCCCCTATCTCCAACCTGCTCTCTCCCTACACTACTACCCTCTATCTCTGCTCAACTGTCTCCAGCCTCCTCCTTGTTCACCAGACCTTCCGCCCCACCATCAGCGGCGGTGCTTTCAGCCACTATGTCCTGAAGCTGTGGAACTCTCTCCCCTTTGCTTTCCCCCTCTCTCCCCACTTTCAGGTCGTGCTTGAAGATCTTCCTCTTCAACCGTGCCTACGCTTACCTTCCGCATCCCCCTGGCTTGGCTCCGTCTCACTGTTAAGGGCTCCAAGATGCCATCCGGCTTGAAGGGCGCTATATGCAAGTTGTTGTTGTTATAGTGTACAAATAAATATGCTACAAAGCCTGAACACATAGGCTGGGTTTGCCAGGAATCCTCTGGTTTTCTTGATTCTTAATTCCAAATGTATCTGTCTTATTTTCCATTTCATCTAGCTAATGTTATTGAATAGTTTGAGGTTAAAAAGCAAAACGTTAGTTCTCATTTACTCTTTTTTAAATTTTATTTTAATAGATAAAGAAATCTTAACCAATGATGGGTACTTTGTTCCTGGTCCTGATGGAAATCCATTGGGAGATTCTGTATCCCGAGGTGATGTCGCTCGCTTTATGCTTTCACTTCTTAATGGAGATTTGTGGATGAAGAAGGCTGTGGCCATGACAACCAAATGAGAGTTAAATTCTTGCACTACAGTGGAATTGTGTTTTCTACTGTTATAAACTACACATTTCTCAATATATTCAACAACAACAACAACAGCTTGCATTTATTCACTGCCTTTCATATCAGGGGCACATTTCAAAATGCTTCACAGCATGTAAAGTGATGTGAATGAATATTTAATCACGAACATGGTAGCCAGTTTGCTCATAGCAATGCTCCACAAACAACCACGACTAATTTTAACTTGGGGATTGTGGGCCAGAGGATTACATTATACTATGCATCCAGTTCAGTTGATGGATTATAGATTATTATATTTTGTGTATTCAGGCAAGACTCTTTTTAAATTGTGCCTCGTTCCATTACCTAGATTGATTGTTAAAACATAAATATGTCTGTAATGTTTACCTTTTTCTATGCAATGTTCACTGGGATATCCAATAAAAATTGATGAACATTGCTAGCTTGCTTTCTGGAATTTGTTGGCTCAATACAATTCTGGGTGATGAATTTATCCACTGAGCTGCCTGTGTTTTTTTCCCCAAACTTGCACTACCCTTAACTCTGTAGCAAAATAAGTCAAAAAGTTTGAACACGGTACAAGCTGGAATGAGAGCAATGAGATGTATGGTGCAAGATGCAGTGTTGGGGTAGATATTCAATGGCTCGTATATTTTACAACCTCACTCCTGACAGACTGTCAATTGCACTCATAGAATAGAATCATAGAAATTTACAGTACAGAAGGAAGCCATTTGGACCATCGTGTCTGCACTGGCTTATATATTATATATATATATTATACATATAATACTTATAGATTTACTTATCGCTACTTTGTTTATTTGTATATTGAATTAACACAGCAGTAAATGCTTAGGACCAGTGAACGAGACAATTTAGATGATTTAATGAGAGTCAGGTCCCACTGCAAACAGTGACCTTCGATGTTGATTATGCATTCAAATCACCTCTTTCTGCTATTTGAAATAGCTTATGGTAAAAGGGCTATGAATCCCATTTCTTCCTATTTCCCGTACTTGTGATGCACCACGAAACAATATCATTATTATAAAATTATACTTTAAAGTATGATTCAGGGTGATGCTCAGGTATACTGTGCCATGCAGTGGAACATTAAAGTGTACATTACAATTAAACATTCTGTGAGAACTTCATCTTAGCTGCAAAGGTATGAAGTATTCATTGGTCAGGTTTGGTTCAGCCTAGATGTGTGTGGTTATTCGGAGAAGCAGCTGCCCAGGCAACGGACGACAAAAAGGATGATTCCTAGTGTTGGAGGAATGAGCAACAGTTGGATAAGCTAGGAATCTTCAGCTTTGAAAAGATACACCTCAGAGGGATCTTATGGAGGTATATAACTGCTATAGCACTCAGCTATAGTGAGTATTATGGAAGGATGAGATCAAATACGCCAAATGTCCATTTATCCGAATCTCCCTAGAAGTGTAAAATTCTGTGCTGCTTTATGAAGATAAATTGAATGAGTGGGTGAAATGATGACAGCCAGAATCATTTTTGGTCAGCTGTTGTGTGTGACGCATGCAGAAACCCATCACCATGCTTAAGCGGTCCTAGCTGACAAGCAGCAGGAAGCTTACCAGACAGTGTTCACAAATGACCAGCTGATCAGCTTGAGTTGGTTAAATTCCAGAGGGCCCCCAAAGTATTGTTTGGGGTCCTCAAGCCTTGGCTGCTCCAAATACTTTCCAGGATTAGGTAAGAAGGGTATGTGTCCCTCCAGGATGAGAGCGTGGACTTCATTTCAGACATAAGGAAACTTCCACGCATATGTGAAACTCTCATGTTGATTTGGATACTCTTAAGTTTGATAATGGGTTTCCATGTGTATAAGACTATCTGGTTGGCTAAAACAAAGGTGAGTGATAATACTTGGGAATAAATTAATTGTGAATATGAAATTAATATTAACAATATTGAACAGTATACATGGTGTGTGTGCCTTGTGTTTGTGTGTTGGAGGTGGACACAGGTAAGAAATCAACATCCTCTAGACCTTCAACACAAGCTCAATACTTGCTTGTGTGCCTGAGTGCAGTGACATTATTGTGACTATATTTTGAAAAATCACAGTGCCTTTGTAACATCTGCTGGCACTTGCTTGCCTTTTAGCCGAGCAGCCGAGCAGCAACATACAGAGCTTCAAAGGTCTGTAAGGGGGCTAGTGGTGATTATCTGACTTTCCCTTTTTCCTTCTACTCTGCCCCTGCCCCCCACCCCTCCACCTCAAACCTTACCAAGCAATCTGGGTTTAAAGCAGCATGAAGGTGAGAAAGAGAGACCAAACCCACTTCCCCTTCTGCCAAGACACATATGCTGACAGAATTTAAAGAACCAGTCTTCCCGTGAACGTCTGGACTTTTGCGCGCTTAGAAGCATAGAAATTTACAGCACAGAAAGAGGCTATTCAGCTCATTATGCCTGTGCTCTCTCTCTCTCTGAAGAGCTGTCTGTTTAAGTCCCGTTCTCCTGCCTTCTCCTCATATCATTTCACATTTCTCTTCAAATACAGGTATTTATATCTAATTCTCTCTTAAAAACGAATGTGGATTCTGCCTGAATCATTCTTCCAGATAGGTCTTCGATGCCCAAACATCCCTCTGTGTAAAAATATTTTTCCTATTGTTCTTTTCATAATTTTAATTTTTTTTCTTTTAATAATCTAAGATGTGTGAATTAACCGTTTGATCATTTATGATTTCCTGCGGATGTACTCTCCTGCCCACTTCCTGTGCTTTGTCCACTCTGGCCTGTGTCATGTCTCTCCGTGTCCCTAAACCATTGCAAGTTTTCAGCATTTAGCCTTCGTCTCTGGAACTCTCTTTCAAAATCCCTGTGCCTCGCTCGCTCACTCTGCTTTCAAAACCCGTCTAAAAACCTATCTTTTTGACCACGTTTTCAGCCACCTCCTCCTTACCTCCTACGCATCTAAGGCTCCCGCTATGTCTTTGAGAATTTCTTTTCTATGTGGAAGTGTTATATAAGAGCAATTTATCATTGTTCCGATAAAGTATATACTTGTAGGTTGGCATGATTTATGAATTCAGATGTGTGGCAGTTGAGTTTCTACTTTATTTCTTGTCAATAGTGTTATGTTCAAATGATTCAGGGACCTTACAGCTCTTACTTTTATTTCAAAGTTTTCTGCAGCTACAACAATAACAACTTGCATTCCATTAAAAGTGAACAGAAAGCTAGGGAATTCTGAGGTCAGAAAAACTGGTTCACCCAGTTTTAGCCATAAGACTATTTTGCCTTAAAATTTAAGATTGCGCAGAACTGCTGATACTTCTTAATTTACAAGTCTAATTTTGAAGTCGGTTTTCTCCAGTTCTTTAAATGAACCGGTTTCCAAGACTGAATTGAAAATTTTACCCGCAATTCCGCAGACTTCAACATTTTGAGATAAAAATGATCTAAAGACCATGTGCAAATTTACATCCTGTGTGTGGGAAGGGGAAGTGGGGTAAATCAAAGAAAAACAGAGAAAGCTCCTGACAGAGCAGAAATGAGAGGGGTCACAGATCAAGTGAGAGACTGACTGATTGAGGACCAGAGTGCCAGCCAAGGTGGCCAGAAATGAAAATACATTTGTAGCCTAAAGTCAAGCAAATACTAGCCCCTAAGTAGCCCAATACTATGCATGGCCTCCTATGGGTAGCAGAGTAGCCAGTGTTTTTGAAACTGTAAGAAAAGGTCTTCAAGGAGGAAGGGGGCAGGGCAGTGCAGGTTCAATAAAAACAAAATGAAAAATTAGGCACCCGCCCAAAGCAATTTTTTCATGAACAGTATAACAAGAACATGCCCAATTGGCAATCTTAATTTTGAAGTTGTTTTTCCCCAGTTGTTGAAATGAACCAGCTTCCAAATTAAGACTGAATTGGCAATTTTGCCCGCAGTTCTGCAGGACTTTCAAATTTTGAGACAAAACATGATCTAAAGATCAGGTGGAACTTTGGTCCTTGTTAATATGTAATAATCCTCACTGAGATTTATCAAAGCGTTTCACAGGATATACTGTAACGTGGATTGCCTGTGTATTTTAATAATAATAAAAATAAACCTTGCATTTGATATAGCATCTTATCATGTCTTCAAGACGTCTCAAAATGCTTCACAGGATACACTGTAAAGTGAATTGAATCTGTGTTTTGTGGGCAAAATGCATTAATGTGCAAACTACTCTGTGTGGGGTAAAGGGAGGGGAGGCTTAAGATTATTCCCAATTTGGAAATATTGGTGCAGCTGGAGGGACGGTCTAAGTGTAATAATAATAATCCTTGCATTTGATATAGCACTTTTCATGTCTTCTAGACGTCTTAAAACGCTTCACAGAATATGTTGTAAAGTGAATTGACCGTATATTTGTGGGCAAAACACGGCAGCCAATTGCGCACAGCAGTGTCCCACAAACAGTCGTGGATTGAAAATGACCAATTTATTGTTTTATTTGAGGGATTATTATTAGGCGTGTGGAGTAAGAAAACTTACTTACAGAGTGACAGTGAGTGAGTGACAGAATGAGTGACAACAACAACAACAAAATTACATTTATAGAGCGCCTTTCACGTCAGGAGGACATCCAAAAGCGCTGAATAGTCAGATGTCGGGGCCCGAGCATGGGGAGGGGTGGTGTAGGGATGAGGGAAGGCAGAGAGTTGGGAGGGAAACCAAAGGTACGGTCGAAGAGAAGGGTCTTGAGACCGGCCTTGAAGGAGGCAAGGGAGGAAGTGAGGCGAAGGGACCGTGGGATGGAGTTCCAGAGTGTGGGGGCAGAGAGGCTGAAAGCCCGGACACCGATGGTAGGGCGGGTTGGGCAGGAGACATGGAGCAAACCAGAGCCTGATGACCGGAGGGAGTGGGCAGGTTGGTAGGGAGTCAGCAGGTCAGAGAGGTAGGAGGGGGCAAGGCTATGGACGGCCTTAAAGGTGATGACGAGGATCTTGAACTCAATCCTCTGGGGGATGGAGAGCCAGTGGAGTCGGGCGAGGGTGGGAGTGATGGGGACACGGAGCCTGGTGCGTGAGAGTACACGAACTGCAGAGTTTTGGATGATCTGCAGCTTGTGAAGGGAAGAGTTGGGAAGGCCGATGAGGAGGGAATTCCCGTAATCGAGCCTTGAGGTGACGAATGCGTGGGTGAGGGTTTCAGCAGCCTGAGGGGTGAGCCAGTGGTGGAGTCTGGCAATGTTTTGGAGTGAGTGACAGTGAGAGAGTGAATGAGTGACAGAATGAGTGTGTGACAGAGTGAGATGGAGTGCGTGACAGTGAGTGAGTGTCAGTGAGAGAATGACAGTGAAAGAAAGAATGACAAGAGTGAATGAGTGACTGAGTTCAGAGTGAGTGAGAGTGAGTGGGTGTGACAGAGTGAGTGACAGTGAGTGAGAGTGACAGTGTGTGTGACAGTGAGTGATGGAGTGAGAGTGAAGAAGGGAGTGAGGGACGGACGGAGGGAGCGACGGAGTGAGTGACAGTGAGAGAATGACAGCGAGAGAATGAGAGTGAGAGTGAGTGATAGCATGAGTGACAGAGTGAGTGAGAGTGATAGCATGAGTGACAGAGTGAGTGACAGAGTGAGTGAGAGTGATAGCATGAGTGACAGAGTGAGTGACAGAGTGAGTGAGAGTGAGTGATAGCATGAGTGACAGTGAGTGAGTGAGTGAGTGAGTGCTGAGCACAGGGCAGTGTAGTGCAGGGCAGTGTAAGCCAGGCAGTGCAGGGCAGGGCAGTGTAGGGCAGTGCAACCCAGGGTAGTGCAGGGCAGTGAAGTGCTACGGTAGTATAGTGCAGGGCAGTGCAGGGCAGTGTTGGGTAGTGCAGGGCAGTACAGTGCAGTGTAGTGCAATGTAGTACAGGGCAGTACAGTGCAGTGTAGTGCAGGGTAGGGTAGTACAGTGTAGTGCAGTGCAGTGTAGTGCAGGGTAGGGTAGTACAGTGTAGTGCAGTGCAGTGTAGTGCAGGGCAGTACAGTGCAGTGTAGGGTAGAGCAGGGCAGTGCAGTGCAGGGTAGTGCAGGGCAGTGCAGTGCAGGGCAGTACAGTGCAGTGTAGTGTAGTGCAGGGCAGTACAGTGCAGTGTAGTGTAGGGCAGTGCAGTGTAGTGCAGAGCAGTACAGTGTAGTGCAGGGCAGTACAGTGTAGTGCAGGGCAGTACAGTGCAGTGTAGTGTAGGGCAGTGCAGTGTAGTGTAGGGCAGTACAGTGCAGTGTAGTGCAGGGCAGTGCAGTGTAGTGTAGGGCAGTGCAGTGTAGTGCAGGGCAGTACAGTGTAGGGCAGTGTAGTGCAGGGCAGTACAGTGTAGGGCGGTGTAGTGCAGTGTAGTGCAGTGTAGTGCAGGGCAGTGTAGTGCAGGGTAGGGTAGGGCAGTACAGTGCAGCACAGTGCGGGACAGGATCCTCGGGAGGTGGGGCAGGAGCTGAAGCGATGCCCGGCGGAGGCTCTGACAACCCGGAAGTGCTCTGTGAGTGACTGTGTGTGTGTGTGTGGGGGGGGGGGGCGGGTCTGTGCTGCCCGTCACTCAGTCACTCAGTGAGAGAGACAGAGAGGGAGAGAGAGAGCCACACACTCAGTCTGCACTGCCATGGCTTACACACACTGGTCAGCAGAGGGTAAGTCACTCACTCACTCACTCACTCACTCAGCATTGCTTTGCCAGGACTTCACTCCAAAACACCAGTTAAAGTTACTTGTCTTTTTTTTTGAAAAAAAAAGAGATTAAAGAAAAACAGAGAGAGAGAGAGAGGAGAGAGGGAGAGGAGAGGGAGAGAGGGAGAGGGAGAGGAGAGAGAGAGGGGAGAGGAGAGAGAGAGAGGGTGAGGGAGGGGAGAGGAGAGAGAAGAGAGGGAGAGGAGAGAGGAGAGAGAAGAGAGAGGGAGAGGAGAGAGAGGAGAGGAGAGAGAGAGAGAGAGAGAGGGAGAGGAGAGGGAGAGAGAGAGAGAGAGGGAGAGGAGAGAGAAGAGAGAGGAGAGAGAAGAGAGAGGGAGAGGAGAGAGAGAGAGAGGGAGAGGAGAGAGAAGAGAGAGGGAGAGGAGAGGAGAGAGAGAGAGGGGAGAGGAGAGGGAGAGAGAGAGGAGAGAGAAGAGAGAGGGAGAGGAGAGGGAGAGAGAGGGAGAGGAGGGAGAGGGAGAGAGGAGAGGGAGAGGAGGGAGAGAGGGAGAGAGGGAGAGGGAGAGAGAGAGGAGAGGGAGAGAGAGAGAGGAGAGAGAGAGAGGGAGAGGAGAGAGAGAGAGGGAGAGGAGAGGGAGAGAGAGAGAGAAAAAAAAGCAAAGCAGGACTTGTTGTGAATGTCATGCTTTTTGCTCTGGTCCTTCCCTCTCCTCCTGCGGTCAGTCCTAAATGGTCGTTCATACTTACTGGTTACAACGTTTTACACTCTGGGTCACAGCTCTGCAATACTTAGAGCTGCATTTCCCAAAAGAGTGAGCTCCGCGGAGAGACGTTGTACCGGATTTCAGTTTCCAGGTGGATTGTTTGTCTTTGTTTTCTTTTTGAGAAAAAAAAGAGGAAGAAAGAAGGTAGAAGTGAATGTGTGTACGGTCTGTTTTCGGTGTCAAACCTGCTGTGTTTTGTGATGGTTGTAACTGTTTTCTTTCCCTCCATCCGCTGATGGCTTTAACGGGAGTTTGAGGGTCTGTTGGGTCTGAAGGTCTGATATTCCCTTTTTCCGATGACTTTGAGAATTGTTGGGATTGTGTTCTTTGCGGCTTTGTTTGTGCCTCGCACCAACCGGGCAAGGCAATGTCAGGCACATGTCGCAGGAAATTGTGCCAATCCGGATCATGGCAAGTGTGATGTTATGAAATCTGGAACGTTATAAAGCGAAGCCTTCTGATCATTTTTGTTTTGAACGATGATAGTTTCTCTGCCCCCCACCACCGCCACGACCCCACACGCGTTTATAGGGAGCAATAACCTCAATGGGTAAAATATTGAATTTGTTTCATTTAAGGCTTCCCTACCTTCCACCCCAATGCCCCCCCCCCCCCCCCCCCCCCCCCACGCCGCCTCCCATCCCCATTACTACTTTCTCTCCCAGTCCCTGAAATTTACGTTCCAACAACAGCACATTACGTTTGTACAGCGCCGTTCACGTCAGGAGGACATCCCAATAGGCCATTTGCTGACCGTTCTTGTTAAAGATCCTGTAAAGAATGAGAGGTTTGGGATTTGGGCATAATAATAATCATAATAATCCTTGCATTTGATATAGTGCCTTATCACGTCTTTGAGATGTGTCAAAACGCTTCACGGAATATACTGTAAAGTGAAGCGTCTGCATATGTTGTGGGTGAAACATGGCAGACAATTGCGCACAGCAGTTTCCCACAAACAGTCAAGGATTGAAGTGACCAATTTTTTTTAAGGAATTATTACCCCCGGAAAAGCGATCCGCCAATCGACTAGCAACCAGGTTCCTACATACTGCTAGGAAAACAGGCGTGTGGAGTAAGGAAGCTTGCCCAACATTTCGCCCTGCCAGGATTGGCAATTTATAACTAGATTTTCTTTTCTTGGAAAAAATAGATGGATGTCAGTTTGCTTCTACTCGTGACACAATACAATTGCTAAGCCTGGTGTATCAAGGTCAGTGTGCCTCTTGGCAAAAATAATTAGAGACCTGTTTGGCTATTTTCAGCCCTCTGCTGTTTCTCTGCTCATCTACCTTTAGACTAGCTAAGTAGGTAGTAAAACTGTTTCCCTTATGACCAAATTCCCCCCTTCCCAATTTCCATCAGAATGATCACCCCCCCACTTCAATTCATACATTTTCTTCCCCCATACAGACTGGTTTTATTTTGTATCTGGTTTGTTCTTTCCCTGTGTTCTTACTACTATACTGTATTTTCCTGTGTGTGACAATGCTGTGTACGGTTACATAGTTACTTATCTACTGAAATGTCACTTGTTTGTTTGTTATGGAAAATGTGAAAACACTCTCTGGAAAGCCTTGAATAGCATTTTCCAAGCAATCTTTTTTCAACAAAATTGTGTCCTTTCAACAGACTTTGCTGACATTATTAATAGTCATTCAAGCAATATTTTCCATGTTTATAACTGAGCAGGTCCGATGATGTCATCATGCCATTGATCTATATTTTCTAAGAAGTTTATCCCTGGGGAATGTTCCTGGCTGAGAGACTTGACTTTGAAACTTTTTAAAAACCTTCTTATTTTCTAGTTGACCTAAAACTTTGTCACTGACAAAAACACTTGTGTCCGTACGCATTTCAGTTACGCTCAAATTATTTCCCCAAATAGCATGAGGAAATGAAACTATGTTTTTTTCAAATAGTAAATCTGAAATGCAGTATGCTTTGCACTTGAGCATTATGAAAGCAACAAGTTATTTAAAACAATTAAAACAACGATTCTAGCCAGAATACATTCCATCTTCCTCTAATTCATTTCAATTTCTGTCATGATTTGTGTTCCATACTCTAATGACTCCTGACTCGTACATTTCTGTACAATAATGCTGATGAGCATCTTTCATATTTTGTGACTACTTGATCTCTGTTCAGTTCTCCCAGACTTAATACCAGGGCTTAAAAGGTTAAATTATGAGGACAGGTTGTATAAACCTGGTCTGTATTCCCTTGAGTTTAGCAGGTTGAGGGGTGATCTGATTGAGCTGATAAAGAGATTTGGTGGGGTATCTGCAAAGAAACTATTTCCTCTATAATAATAATAATAATCCTTGTACTTGACACAGAGCTTTATCATGTCTTCGAGACGTCTCAAAGCACCCTACTGGTGGGGGTATAGTCCAGTGGGGTGCTTTGAGTGCTTAAAATTAGAGCCAGGCCACTTAGGAATGAAATGAAGAAGCACTTTTTCACACAAAAGGTAGATCATCTGGAACTCTGCACCAACGTGGCTCTGTCCTCGGTCGCCTCCTGTTTGGCCTCTACATGCTCCCTCTTGGTGACATCATCCACAGACATGAGGTCAACTTCCACATGTATGCGGATGACACCCAACTCTATCTCTCTGCCCTCCACCCTCAACTCCAGGACAACTGAATGTCAGCAAGACCGAGGCCCTCCCGATTGGTTCGCGCCAGTGTCTCCGCACCTCAGGCACTGGCAGCATCAGCATCCGCAGTTGCACACTCCACCTCACCAAGCCGGACAGGAACCTGGGCGTCTTGTTTGACCCTCAACTGTCCTTTTACCCCCATATCCATGCCATGACCCTCTATGCCTTGCCCCACCTCCACAACACTGACCGACTCTGCCATTGCCTCACAGTTCAAAATCCTGGTTCTCACCTTCAAAGCCCTTCATGGTCTTGCTTCTGCCTACCTCTGCGTCTTCTAACCCCCTACCAACCTGCCTGCTCCCTCCGCTCAGCGGGCTCCGGTTTGCTTCACCATTGGTGGGTGAACTTTCTGCCACTCTGTCCTACCCTCTGGAACTCCATCCCGCGGTCCCGCCTTGCCCTCTCCCTTGCCTCCCTCAAGATCTGTCTCAAAACCCTCCTCTTCGACCATGCCTTTGGTCACCTTCTTTCCCCCTCTGCTTTCCACCCTCCCCGATCCCGACCCCCAGCTCGGATTCGAGTGTCCTGGCCTTGGGACGTCCTCCCGACGTGAAAGGTGCTATTCAAATATAATTTTGTTATTGTTGGAAATCTGGAATTCTCACCCTCAAAAGGCTATGGATGCTAGGTTAATTTAAATTCAAAGACTGAATTGGATAGGTATTTGTTAGGTCAGGGTATCAAGGGATATGGGGTACAGACGAGTAATTGGAGTTGAGGTATAGATCAGCCATGATTTAAAAGAATGGCGGAACAGGCTCGAGGGGTTGAATGACCTCCTCCTGTTCCTATGCTCTGGCAACTTGTTAAAAAAAAATCATAGCAATTTCAACATTCAGAGGAGTCCATTCGGCCATCAAGCCTGTGCTGCGCTAGAGCCCAACCAGAGGTATCCACTCCAATCCTATTTCTGTGATCTTTCCCCAAACACTCTTGTAACTGACACGGGACTGGTTTGGTCACAACGGATTTAGGTTCTTTCCCAAGGTATAGGAAAATAGCATTGATGGGCAGGCCTTTCCAGCTCCCCTGCCTCTGGCCTGGGACAGGTGGCCCAGCTTTGGTCAGGCACCACTATCCTGCGCGAGTGAAGTCAGACAGCTTTGTGCTGTGAGCCTGCGCCCACAAATTATTCAGTGAAGGCCAAACTGTTTTTACAGATTTATAGTCGCAAGACATTCCTCTCATCATTTGAGGTATTCAGAGCCCAGGATTGCTGCATATTGGATCCCCTATTTGGTCTATTTACCCAAAGGACAATTAGCTGATCTCATTGGGGTCCCAACGAAGGCTTGAGTGCTCTGGAGGGAAGGAAATCAACCAGAGTTTCTGCTCAATAATCTACTAACTCCTATTGGATGTAAGTGTGTGTGTGTGACAACAGTGTTCATTTAGGTGTGGCCAGACAGTTGTTGGGATGCCAAGTGATATACAGGCAGCAGCCGATACAGTTGACTTGGTGTTGTGGCTACCGGGAACGCGGTCTGCCTTTTCTGCTTTATATGCAAATTCAGCTGCTGTTTTGCACAGAGCCAACTCTTTTCCTTCCCTTGAGCAGCAATAAAGAGACCAGTGTGAAACACGTTCATAGATATTTTAAGCAAACAGAGTGAACTGAGTGTAAGAAACACCATCTGGATCGGAGTTACTCAGTTCTTTTTCTCCTGCTTGGATCAGTCTTACTTCAGCTGAATTTGGCCTAGGTCCATTTCTCTGAAATCAGCCAAATCTTTTGAACGTGACTCCCATTTGAGGAATCATTTAGTTAATGTTTATTCAAAGAACTATTTTCCTCCATTCTTGTGCAAAACCCAAGTCTTGTATAACTGCCTTAGCTTGGTTGGTTGGTACTTGGTTGGTTGGTACAAGTAGCGATGGGTATACTCCGATAGTGCATATGTTTGTAAGTGAAAGCCATAACTTACCTGATGGGTAAGTGGGTAAAGAACGAGCTGATACAGTCAGTCATGCAGATCAAAGGTTGTAACTCTGAAAAATTCTCAGTTTTGATAGTGGTTGGAGAGCTACCATTGGCCTTGGTGTTCCTGGGTTAGGAAATACCAGGCTTCTCTAATTGCTATAACAATCCTTGCATTTGATATAGCGCCTTATCACATCTCAAAGCGCTTCACAGAATAAACTGCAAAGTGAATTGACTGTATATTTTGTGGGCGAAACACAGGGGCCAATTGAGCTCAGCAGTGTCCCACAAACAGTTGTGAATTGAAGAGACCAATTTATTATTATTTTGAAGGAATGATTACCCCTGGAAAAGCGATCCGCTGATCAACTTACAACTGGGTTCCTACTTACTGTTCGGTAAACAGATGTGTGTGGAATAAGGAAACTTGCTCAACGTGTCGCCCTGCTGGAAATCGAAACCAGGTCTCTCGCTTGCAAGGCGAGCGCTCTATCCACTGAGCTACAGGACTCCTTGAATACTGTTGATCAGTATCAAATGAAAGTCTGTGAAAATACAATACAATACACAAAATTACATTTGTATAGTGCCTTTCACTTCGAGAAGACGTCCCATGGCGCTGGGGTAAGGGAGGATAGGAGGGTGGCCAAAGGCACGGTCGAAAAGGAGGGTCTTAAGATGTGCCTTGAAGGAGGGAAGGGGGCGAAGGGAATGTGGGATGGAATTCCAAAGAGTGGGGGCGGAGAGGCTGAAGCCCCAACTGCCAATGGTGGGGTGGGCCGTGCGGGTGACATGGGGCAGGCCGGAGCCTGCTGAGCGGAGGGAGGGACAGGTTGTTAAGGGGTTAGTAGGTCACAGAGGTAGGAAGGGTCAAGGCTGTGGAGAGCCTTGAAGGCAAGGACGAGGATTTTGAACTCTGTTCTCTGAGTGACGGGGAGCTTGTGGAGCCGGCCGAGTGTGGCAGGGTGAAATGTTGGGCAAGTTTCCTTACTCAACACGCCTCTGTTTACCTTGCAGTAAGTAGGAACCCAGTAGTTAATCAATCGGTGGATTGCTTTTCTGGGGGTAATAATTCCTTCAAAAAGCGATCGCTCCCTTCAATCCACGACTGTTTGTGGGACACTACTGTGCGCAATTGGCTGCTGTGTTTCGCCCACAAAATCTACAGTCAATTGACTTTACAATATATTCTGTGAAACGCTTTGAGACGTCTCGAAAATGTGATAAGGCTCTGTATTAAATGCAAGGATTATTATTATTATTTTTATTTACCAGGTTGCCCAACCTGGAAAATAACACAGAGAAGCTTACAGGGAAAAGAGAGAAGAAGGGAAGGAGGTTACAATAACACTACACTACCTGGTTCCAGTGATTCAAAACACGCGGACTGAAGTGACTCGCGCGGACAGTCTCGGCAGTTGGTTCAGGCGCGGGATTTTTTAAAAAAGAATATCTTGTGCCAAACTCCAGTCACCAGCCGGTACAGGTGACTAGTCTTGATCCCCAGGGCCTCGGTCCTGGCTGCCAGTACCTGCCGGCTCCCACCGACCTCGCTCCCGCACTAACCTGCTTTGCCCCGTCCCCTCTCCTGGTTACCTCCCGCTGCCTCGAATTAGCCCCGGCCTCTCTCCCCAGCCCGGCTCCTCTACTCCAATTCCGACGCCTCCCGGTTCCTCTAATACACATGGGTGAACAGCACTCACTCTCTGTCTATCCTTGACAGGGATATTGGAGTCCTGTAGCTCACTGGTTAGAGCACTCGCTTTGCAAGCGAGAGACCTGAGTTCAATTCCAGGCAGAGGGCGAAACCTTGGGCAAGTTTCCTCACTCCACACAGAGCCAAATAATAATCCCTCCAAAACCAAAAACAATAATAAATTGGTCATTTTCAATCTACGACTGTTTGTGGGACATTGCTGTGCGCAATTGGCTGCCGCGTTCGCCCACAAATATACAGTCAATTCACTTTACAGTGTGTTCTGTGAAGCGCTTTGGGACGTCCTCCCGACGTGAAAAGCGCTATATCAAATGCAAGGATGATTATTATTATCCTCCTCACACCAAGAGGGGCCCCAGACATTGGCTTCTAGAGCTGCCTCTTGTTGAACTGAAGCCCAGTCTGAGTTGACCTTTCTCAGTGGAGGAGCATGGAGACATCTGGCTGTAACAAAAGTACTTTAAATGAAGATCGAGAGCATCTGTACTTGCATGATTTCTTTAGTCTGGCTGTGTTTACAAACTACAAAATAGTAATTGCACATTTAAAATGTACATCATGTTAATGAGGTGCAGATTGATTGCTTCATTTACTTGGATCAAAGTAGATGTACTTACTGATTGGTAACATCGCTTCTGCCCAAACAGTACCAACATGACTTCCAGTTGCTTTTTTTAAAACTCCTTTTATTTAAAAAATATGTTTTATTTCAAAGAAGAAGTGAGCTCTCAAATCACCTGACATACAATACAAATTTACATCGATATAACACCTTCCACATGGAAAGGACAATGCACACACTTTCTCACATGTGTTTTTATCTGTCTTATTTTCACCCTGGCATGCTCAGACTTGCCCATAAACCCTTTTTTAACATGGAATGTCCCTGAAATTTAGTGTTTACAAGAATGCATTTAACGCTGTCCTGCTCCTCAATGTAGCCGTATATTGATGCTCCAATGTGCAACTCTCTTTGCACTCTTGAGAACTTTAAAATACTTTGAAGATAAATGCGGTGAATGGAATTATTGCTATTCTCTTGCTAAAAATGCTTTTCTTTTGATGTTATTTGATTAATTGTGTCTGAAGTGAAAGTGACTCCTCCAACCCTACCCACCGCAATCAAATGGTTTTAAAAACGAAACCACATTATACAATGTTAATTAATGTTAAAACATAAACCTTAGAAACTTGTAAATTTTTGGCTATGTTCTTACGCGGGAGGATTTCTCCAGCATATACTGTGAAGTGTTGTGAAAACTGAGGAGACTGAAATGACTGAAGGTTGCAAATTCAAATCCCATGCCAGAGCTTTGAGTTTATAGTCTGTGCTGAAACTCTAATGCAAAGATGGGGGAGCGCAACATTTTCAGAGGTACTATCCTTCAGATGAGGTATTAAACTGAAGTGCCGTCTGCCTCTTCAGGTGGACATTAAACATCCCACAGCATTAGTCAGAAAAAAAGGAAGTTTCTCCTAGTTTCCTGGCTAATAAACCAGTTAATCGTGCACTTGGAACAAAGCTGTGTGCAAATTGGCTGCCATGCTTACATATCTACGTTTTACAGGAAGTTGCTGTGAAATATATTGAGACATTCAATATTATAGGTAACGTACCATATGTAAGGATTATTATTTAGTGTTATTAATTGGTGGTGTTCTTGTTATCCAGGGATGAACTGGCTTGCAGATACTACCAACAAGTTTGATGTTAAAAAGGTAGTATGGTGAAAGTCTCTCTCAACCCTGAGCAGGTATTTGCAGCTGAAACCATAGCATCTGGGGAAATGTCATCTGGGGATATGATTCCAGAGCTGAAGCATCAGCAGCTAAAGAATCGGAAATTTCCTGATAAGCCCTCGGACAATGACACTGAAGGAGATGGTTCTTTCGTGTTTGAAGCAAATGAAGCTTGGAAGGATTATCACAACTCGCTCTGTCAGTTCTATGAAGCCAAAGAACTCTGCGACATAACATTAAAGGTGAGAGATCTTTTCAGCATTTAATCCAATTCCTTGGTCTTGTGATATTTCTTGCTGTTGGTTGGACCTGTTGGAGTGTAAATAAAGGAACAAAAGAGGATCTTTAAACATCATTCAGGGTTTTTTTAAAGAAAGCTTTTGTTTTTGTGTTGATTATCCTTGTGTTTTAGTGACTAAGAAGAGAGTATCAGCCTGGTGCTGTTGGCAGCACCCTCACTCTGTCAGACATTTGTGTGTTCAAGCCCCATGTTGGGACTTTGATCATACAGTCTAGCCTGGCACGGCAATACATTGTTGGAGGTGGCACCTTTCAGATGAGACATTAAGCTAAAGTCCCATTTAATATAATTAACTTGATTATTGTAGGTTTCTTTCCTAGCAGGAACACGAGGTGCTGAAGTTCTACCTTCTTTATCAATTTAAGACTTTTCGCACCAGTGTCGGGGCTTCTTTTGTCACTTTTGATATTGGGATCTCTCTTACTGTCACCTTTGCCGCTTGGTAGAATATTAAGCCTGGAATTGATATGATATAAAATATTAAATTGTGATAATCACTGCAATTGCTTGAACATAAGTGTCCTGTTTAAAAATAACTGTTATAAATAATACTTGCTGTTTCACCCTTTCTAAAAATAGGTATGAGAATGACAGTGAGCTGAGAACAATTACTAGTAAGACAGGAAATAATGAGAGAAATGGTTCCTTTCAGAAAAAAATGTCTATATATCTATCTTTTTCTATCTATCTTCTTCTTTCTAGCTATGTATATATATACTAATAAAACGACAATGTCTGTCTGCGCTTCAAGAAGGATTTCAATAACCGATTGACATAGAAACATGATTGATACCTTATCGGAAAGGTGTTGCATTTGGGAGTGACATGGGCATATTTGTTTTCAGGTATCTCCTATGTTTCATGAGTTATTTTCAATTTTGCATTTTTTGCTGCAGTTACGGTGGCCGCCGAGTCAAAGTGGGCTGCAGTATTGTGCGTCACAGAGCAAGTACATATGCATGCATGCACTGCAGTTATACCTGGTGGCCGCACCGGTTGACTGTGGCACTGTGGCATCCTCTGTCACAGAGCATGCACATAGCCAAGCGGCAGGAACAAATAAAGAAATACAGACGAAGCTAAGCCGCAGCAACAACAACAAAATTACATTTTTTAAAGCGCAGAGTCCTCCCAGTTGAGTGGAGATAAAGATGAAATGTCTGTCTGTGTGTCAATCTTCATTCCATATTGGATCCTTTGGTTGCAAGCGTAGCATATATATGAATCAGGGTTAGGGTTATAGGGGAATAACTTTCTTTTACAAAAGTACTAGGAAATGCATCTTTCTCCCAAGACAACACTCATCTTGCAGTGGAAATGCTAGATGTGCAACATGCATCAAACATCTGGAGATTGTAGAATTGTCGGCGTCTCAAGTCACCATCAGTTAAATTCTATTCCACTAAGTATCCTAGGTAGTGCTTAGTCTTTATTGAATAATTCAGACCCTGCTTTTAATGACAAGAAATAATAAACTTGTACTGCTGCTGCCATATCTTGGCACATTACAGACAGGCTGCTTGATTTAATCCCCATCAGTACCAGATCATCAATCCATTATTTAACTTTAGTCTGTGTTAGACTTGCTAATTGATGGCAGCCTTAAACAATGATTAATCTGTAGGATGCATGTACTCTTTAAGAGCTGCATAGTGAATTATTTAATTTGCAATAAATAATAGATGGCTTTATTATCCGTCAGAATTTTTCTATTCAAATTTATTAGTATATGTAAAATAAATTCAAGGAATTCAGTGGTGGGAACCCACTAATAATGTGCCAGTTTTCTTTTTTTTAAAAATTGATATAACTGCATGAATCTTATTGTCTTTCTGTCAGCTGGTTTAAGAAGGCACTGAAAACTCAGTACATTGTGGTAATTTGCTAATTGATTACATTTGCAAAGACTGCACAGCAAAGTACACTGAACACAACTGACTTGTATTGGCTTTTGAGCTGCCACATTGTTTCGCACACCGTGCCAAGATACCAGTTCCAGTGAAGAGCAAGTCCAATAATTAAGCAAGTGAAATGTTCCCCTCAGACCTTAATTGAATGAATTGATCTACTGTAGGTAATAACAATAATGGCCCTGTTAACATGGTGTTGGTTTGCAGTAAAGTGTTACTCTGGAGCAATTGTAATTTTGAGAAGACCTTGTGCTGGAACCAGCACTAATTTCAGCAGATGGTTTGTACATTGCACACGAGACGTTATCTGCAAGTGGGATGAAATATTCCAGCTCTCCAACCTAAAAGTCGGTTGCTGCTGCTGTTACCTGCTGACAAACCACAATTTAACATTAATCTTTGTTCTTTGCAATTTATTGCTTTTGTCCAGTAATTTACAACCCTTTCAACAATCAGTCGTGTAGGTTTTGATGTGGTAATCTTTGTCTCTTAGATTATGAAAATAAGATAGTTTCTCTCATATAAATGAGCACCTCTTTATATGATCTGTAGATAGAGTTGGAGGGAGGTGTAAGAGGTAGCTCGGATGAGCCACAACTAATTACAGCTGAATGTCTAGAAAACTGAAGCTGTCTTATTTGGCTCTCACCAGCACTAAAATGCCTTTGGTTCTGAATCCATTAATGTCTCTGAATACTTGCACACACTGAACCTGGTATTGTGCAAACTCTGCGGTCTGTTCAATCTTGATATGAGTTGTAATCAGGTTATCTGACTCATTGCTATCAACACTATTCACTTAACACTGCTACTTGCTGCAAAAGTGCCTAACTATGCCTCATTGTCTCTTAAGTTAATTTCTTTAGTGCTCTCCCCATTGGCCTCCCTGTCTCCACCCTTCACAAATTTTAACTTGCCCAATATACTTATCAGCTCCTAATTAATACAAGAACTTGCATCTCATTGCACCGGTGCATGCCAATCTCCAAAGGCTCCATGTCTCACGGTGCATTGACTTTTCAAAATTGTTTTTCCTTCTGTTTTAAACAGAAATTATTATTCCAGATTTACTCCCTCTATCCTGTTTTTTAAAGTATCTCATTCTAAAGTCTGTGCTCTTTGTTTCCCAAATAGGTTGGGTCCAAGGTTATCCCATGCCACAAACTGGTCCTGGCTTGTGTGATTCCCTACTTCAGAGCTATGTTTCTCTCTGAAATGGCAGAAGCCAAACAGGACCTGGTTGAGATTAAAGATTTTGATGGTGATGCAGTTGATGACCTGGTGAAGTTTGCCTATTGCTCCAGGATTACCCTCACTGTGGACAACGTGCAGCCTCTCCTCTATGCTGCCTGCATTCTGCAGGTGGAGCTGGTGGCCAGGGCGTGCTGTGAATACATGAAAGCCCATTTTCATCCTTCAAACTGCTTGGCCGTGCGCACGTTTGCTGAGAGCCACAACCGGGTGGACCTGATGGGCATGGCTGATAAATACGCCTGTGAACACTTCAATGAAGTGGTAGATTGCGAAGATTTTGTAAACGTTTCACCAAAGCACCTGGTCACACTTCTTTCGTCCAGCAATTTAAATGTGGAACATGAAAAGCAGGTATACAGTGCTGCCATTAAATGGCTGCACACAAACCCACAGCATCATGCCATGTGGTTGGATCAAGTTCTTGGCCAGGTAGGCGTTGTTTATGTTTGAAACCATGGAGGTAAGATTCTTGCGCCCACTCCTTCTGTTTGATTTTCCTCAGACAGTATTGGGTTCAGTACTGCATGCACTGTTGCCCTCTGGTGTCACGTTATGTGGTCGTTATATGTATATGTGAACCTTGACTATGAGTGTAAGCATGGTATTGGTCTATTGGAGTGGAGGAGACATCAAAGCTGACCTTGATCCTCTGTTCACTCTTCATTTCGTGTTCAGCAGGGGAAATCAGATAGCGATCAGCAAACTCAGCACAAGCTTGATCAGTATCGTGCTGAGATATCCACTGAATACATTTACTGAGCATGGGGTTTGTTCCAGCATTATATCTCCCTGATGTTGCATGTGATTGATCAAATCCCAACCTCTAGGGTTTAAAGATTATTGCCGAGTAGGAATAACTTGAGTTTTGATAGTGTCACATTGCATGCTTTGTGGTTACTAGCTTTGCATATTCAATAACTTTGAAAAGTTTACCAGATGTTTTTCTCCAGTGCGGTAAGACAGAAGGAGTGCTTTTCCAGTGAATCTTTTTCTTTTTTATCTTGTCCCCACCCCCTCCTTTAAGTAATTAATGAGTTCAGACATTTTTAAATCGCTTTTTTCCATAACAAGTAATGCTAAACGGTTCATTAAGATCATTTAAAATCAAGTTTAGGATCCCTTCACAACCTTGCCCCAACTGATCTCTGCAATCTCCTGCAATTCTCCTCCCTCCACTCTGTAAACTCTGGCCCCCTTCTCCCCATTATTGGTGGGTGAGCATTCAGCCACTTTGCCACACTCTCTGGAACTCTCTCACTAAATCCCTCAGTCTCCCTCCCTCTCCCACTCACTCCCGCTCTGCTTTCAAAATCAATCTAAAAACATAACTCTTTGATTGCGTCTTCACTCTACCCCGATGAGGCTCCAACTCCATCTGTGTAAAGCGCTTTGACATGTTCTACATGGAAGGTGCTATATATGCCCAAGTTATTATTAAAACTAACTACAGAACGTAGTGAACAGTGAGTTCATGATTTCAACTTTCTTTAAATCTGACAAGCCATTCGGATGAATTGTATTAATTTCTCAACTGAATACTGGATTAATAGTGTGTTGTGAATCAGTGGGCTACATCATTTTTACACAATGTGCAGTCTGTGCTTTCTCTGTTTGCAAGTCTTAAATTTCAAAAAGAACAGTCAGGACGTGCAAAATTGTACTAAATTGGGAAGTAGAGTAGTATTATCAGATGTTTTTAATTGTTTTGTGCAGTTATTAGGCTGTTAATGATCTTTTAGAAGATTTTCATCAGAGGCTCTGACTGTTGACATTCAAATCATGACTTTTCTCGGCTTTTGTGTAACAGTGTCTTTTCAGATGCCTGGGGCAGAGTTGGCTAAAGCTTTTGAGTTGGTTTACAACCAATTTGTCTTCAGCTCTGGGTGAAAGGTCTCGTCAGTTTAAGATTCCTGTGGATAAAACAGAATGTTTTGATGTTGTACATATTGCCATTCAGTGTCTGCTTCTGGTGCACTCCTCAATGGTAGACTGAATGTATAATTGCTTGTTGGCTCAATTTTACAAGGCAGAGAGAGGGCTCATCATTTGACTAGAGTGTTGACTGACTGAATTCATGTTTATGGGTTGCTTGTGGAAAGGCGAGTGAGGGTTAAAAAAAATAATTTTCCTTATACTTTTTTTTAAACACAGCCATTCTTTGTTTGCAGCACACTGTCATACATTACAGAATATACAGTGTTGTATGCATGAAAAAGAGTCATAATCATATGTTGTTCTCCCTCGAAACTGATTTGGGGGAGAGTTGCAACACAGGCTTGGTGCTGCATTCACCTCTGGGCTGGTGGTTTCACTGACATGGTCTGTGTGGTTAAGGATTCAGTGTGGTTAAGGATGAGCCTTCTGTTTTTTTTTTGAATGGGAATCTTTTTTCCTCTCGGATGGTATTAAATGTATGGAGTGTCAATGGGTTAGAGATGGGACCCAGATGTCAAATAGTTTCAGAAACCAAAATGTGGGAATTTTACACTGATCAATAATAACAGTAACTTGCATTTATATAGCGCTCCTCAAGTAGGGTAGCGTCCCAGAGGGTTTGGGATCAAAGCGTATCGGAAATGATTCATTAACATTCGTATGTGACCCTTCTTCAGAACCCTGCGATTTTCAGCATTTACAGTTTTTCTAATTACTTGTCAAATGTCGTGTGATTCAGTAAGTGGCTACACAGCTTTCTTGGACTTGGCTGTTGTATTAGTTCTTTGAACAGCATTAGCTAGATTTGGGGTGGGAGGGAGATTCTCCTGCTTCCCTATCGGCGGATACACTGTATGCTTATGGTTAGGAGAGAGCTCAGAAAATAGGAGGCTGGATAGAGCAATATCAAATGGGACATTTCCTCTCAAGCAATCTCGGGCATTTCTGAGAAGTTGACTGAACAGACATTTTGGTACTGGTGGGTTATAATTACCACTAAAGTACTTGAAGACCAAAGGAAGGAAATGCATCCGTAATGTCTCGTGGGACCTACGAGAGTCTGTAGGTTGAGCGTGATCTACTTTGTTTACCAGTTGGGATCGCCATTTTCGGGATGGATCTGAATTGCCATTTTAGTAAATACTGCATTTTGAACCCCAGTGATTACTAAGTAGTACTTATGCAATAAATTAATATAGTGAATAGCGAAGGTGAAGAAGGAAGACTTATAATCTAGCTTTGTCTTATACAGGTCTGGTCCTTCATTCTATCAGTCTCTAACTGCTCCAAGACACTACTCTGCGTGAAGGGTGCCGTACATATGCAAGATGTTGTTATCAATCAGTCTTCAAGTTCAGCCTTAAAACATACCTCTTCGACCGTGTCTATGGTCAACACACCCCGATCACAATAAAGTGCTCTAAGATATTATTCCATGTGAAAGGCACGATATAAACGCAAAGTGTTGGTGTTTCCTTCTAGAAGTCTTGGAAACTGACAGTGGAGATGCTAGACAAGACTAGATCAAGAGTCTAATGGTCATATTCAAAACTGAATTCAAACCCTTCCTAAAAAAGATGTTGTCCCGATGCAGAAATGAATGACGCCCTTGCGGAAAGCGGTTGCTCAGGGAGCCTTGTTCTTCACATCTGGTTTTACATTAGAGAATTTCTATAGAACCAGCACAGTGGGTCAATTGTTCTGGCTGTTTTGAGAAAGTTTCTTTTATTGCCTTGTATAAAAGGAAAGAAAATCAATCTTTTGTACTCTCTTCGTGCAGTTCGAAAGGCTTTCAGAAACTTTTCTTGTATTAAGTTGTGCACGCAATTCGCATAAGTTCTTAAATTTACAGAGAAACCGCTTCAAAATTGGACTATTTTAAGAATTCTGGATGCTCCGAAATATTACATTAATAGAGCTAACCTAAACCCAGGTGGAACTCCTACCCAAGAGTGATTAAATAAAATAAGATAGACACATAAAGATACACAGCAGCACAATTATATAAACTAGAAGAGCTGAAGAGAATCTTAGAATGAATCCAACATGGTGAAAGCCTTTGATGTCTCTAGTTCTGAATTCTTGTGTTAAATCCCACCTCTTCGACCGTGCCTATGGTTACTTCCCCCCACCCTCCACCTCTCCCTTGCTTGGGTTCCAGGCCGTACAGGGTTGTAAGCAAAAAAAAAAGGTGGCAATTAGACTTTTGATGTCACTTGTGATCTTCACATTTTCTCCCAACTTCGCTAAAGTTGTTTAATCATGATAAAATAGTGTAATTTCCGAAGACAGATAATTTCTGATCTGCTAACCACCTGGATAGGATCAATGTTTGAACATAGTTTGTTAGGTGATTGTAACACAGTCGATGCTTGTCTTGCTATCTCCCAGGCGCTATCCTGTGTGAAGGGCGCTATAAAAATGCAAGTTCTTGTTATGGTTAACCTGGGATAAGGAATAGCAGGTGGATTTTGATGTGATTGAAATACTGTTGATAATCAAATATCTAAAGTCTAGATTATTTAGAAAGAGTGAACTGAATCATCATTTCTTGTTCCACGCTTATGTTTTCTGTGCACTTGCCAACAGGTTCGATTGCCCTTGTTACCCGTTGATTTCCTTATGGGAGTTGTGGCCAAAGACAACATGATCAGGCAGAATCTGAAATGCAGAGACCTGTTGGATGAAGCGAGGAACTATCATCTTCACTTGAGCAACATGCCAGTGCCAGACTTTGAGTACTCCATACGTACAACACCTAGAAAACACACTGCTGGTAATACAAGTTTGATCTTAATTTAATGAGATGCATTCTACTGTGGATATCAAAGTCTCTTGAAAACTAGAGATGAACAGCAATTCCAGCCGCAGCTCTTTCTTAATGGTGGTGTGTAATATGGACCTGAAGAAGGTGCAATCATTACTTTCAAACCAGAACCTAAAATTGTCACTCCTGCTTTCATCGACTACAGTAGATGGTTCAGCAGACCATGCTTTCCTTGCGATATTTGGTGCATTGATGAGTCTGTTGTATCTTATTGTTGTTGAGAGGTCCTGCATCACGGAATCAATTTCTGTTTACTTCAAAACGTAGATGTTTAGCTGCTGTTAGGAATAAGAATCTATTACATTTAATTTTTATAGCTTTTCCCCATTGGGGAATTAAAAAAAAAGACACAACAATGCAGCGTTGAGCAAAATAAACCAGAAGGTTTTAGTTTGTACTGATTTAGCTGCCTGTGATGATGCTCAGATGGCTGCCACAGCTTTTTTTGATCAGCTGGGTGTCTGACGCATACAGAAACCAATCCCCATGCTTAAGAGAATCCAAACCAAATTAAGAATTGCAACCATCCCACCTCCGCATGGACTTTGCAGAAATAGATTGTTGTAATAGAATGTCTAATACCTATTGCTAGACATCGGGTGAGGACGAGATTGGACTTATTGGGAAGCCTCGAGGGGTGAATAGCCTGCCAGCATTCACTGTTAGATTTGTGCATGAGAATGATTACTTTGATAAGTACAGGAGGGCTGACCGTGTCAGCGTTAATGTCCGATTAACGGCAGCTTTTTTTTCTTTAGGAAAATGGGGGAGAAAGTTGGCGGAAAAAAATGTCTATCGCTTCTGAACTGTAATCTTGACATGAAAGATGCTGATAATAATACTTGCATTTGACATAGTGCCTTATCGTATCGTTAAGACGTCTCAAAGCAGTTTAAAGGCATTGCTGTAAAGGTTAATGACTTTTATTTGTATGCAACTGTGACAGACAATTTGCACACAGCAATGATCCACAAACAGCTGAATGTGAATAACCAATTGATCAGGAGAAGCCATTTGCTACATCAAATGCAAGGATTTAATTAAAATAAGTATTTAATAAAGAAAAAACATTTTTTAAAATTCGTTTTTTTTAAGAAACCGAATTTCATTATGTGAAGGCATTTTCATGTGGTTAATCTTGATTGGTAAGCAGAGAGGTAAACAGTTGCTGATCAAGCTCCACACTTGCAACTGGTTCAACAACAACAAATTACATTTGTACAGCACTTTTCATGTCAGGACCATTGCTTAATGAGATGTGTGTTTGAGCTGTGGGTAAGAGGATGTTGACAATGCTCCTACACATTTTATGTCGACTTGTGCTGCTCACAAGGGAGCTCACAGGGGTTCCTGATACATGCCATCACCCGCTGGAGGAAAAGGCCTGTGATTGTTACATGTCAAATGACCAACCATTGACCATCCTCTGCAGCTTTATGGTATACTGATCACAGATCAGCCAGCCTGGCTTATCATTAGGACTTAATAATAAAAATAATATTCCTTGCATTTGATATAGCCCCTTATCATGTTTTTGAGGTGTTTCTAAGGGCTTCACAGAATATACTGTAAAGTGAATTGATTGTATATTTTGTGGGCAGAGCAAGACTTGGAGGGGAAGATTGATGATTCTGGGGTTCCTCCCACTCAGCTCCTATTAACCTTGCAAACTGAATCCCTGAGAAGTAGGGTAGTCCTAGCTGACCAAGCAGCAGAAAGCTTGTCGAATGGTGCTCTCAATGGTAAGCTCTGCCGCTTCAGAGGCTTAAACTCCAGCAGTACCCCAAAAGACATACTTTGTGGTCCCCAAGTCTTGGTTTTCTCTAATGTGTGCATAATATTCTCTGAAATTGGGTAAGTAATAATCCTTGCATTTGATATAGCGCCTTATCACATCTTCCAGGATGTCTCAAAGCGCTTCACGGAATATACTGTAAAGTGAATTCACTGTATATTTTGTGGGGGAAACAGGGTGTCTCCAAAAAANTTTAAATTTTATCAAATACTTTATAAAAATGTTTGCATTATCCTTTGGTATAGTGAATCCTGGAACTGTAACGAGGCGTCCAAAAATAGCAACTATGCAACTGAAATACACCAGGCATTTCAAATCACAAAGTCAATATTAGCAGGAACTGTGTAATTGACCAGGATACTAATCCTTTCCCTCAACTCAATTCTATCTATTTTATTTTAAGAGTTATGCCTAGTTGAATTATTGACTCAAGGTTAATCAAGGTTAATCTCTTACTACAGTCCGGAATGGCCTTCATGTAACCCGACTATCTGTCAAATAACTAAACTTGTGTATGGTGCTTTACCAAGGTAACAGATGACAATAAATATTTACTTGCCCCAACAGATGTCTGTTTTTCTTGGACAGGTAGGTTACTTTACTGTTCTGTGCATTCAGTTGTAGATGTATCAATAGCGAGGCCTTGACATGTACTGGAATGAATATGTAGTTCTTCCATTGACCTTACAGTCTACTGCAGTGTGCACATCAGGGTTTGCAGAAGATACGTGTTTATTTTTCGTCTTGCTGTCCAAATTTGGTGTTGTGTGGTTAACTTTTAATGAGTTTCTTTTCTCTGTACTTCCATGCAGGTGTGTTATTTTGTGTTGGTGGCAGAGGTGGAGCGGGTGACCCATTCCGCAGTATTGAGTGTTATTCAATCGGCAGAAACAGCTGGTTCTTTGGTCCCGAAATGAACAGCAGGAGACGGCACGTTGGAGTAATCTCAGTTGATGGTTAATAACATTTCAAACCATATTTCTTGAAGCGCTTTGCTGACTTTGTTTTAAGTTGATGATCGTGTACATTTTTAACGGTGTTGCGTGGTTGAACCATAGGAAAAGTCTATGCAGTTGGAGGGCATGATGGAAACGAACATTTGGGCAGCATAGAAATGTTTGATCCTCTGACAAATAAATGGATGATGAAAGCCTCCATGAATACTAAAAGGTAGAGATGCACTTTTAAACAGACACGCTTTCAGTCTAGATGCTCACTCGATTTGTGCTTTTAGTATGGTGCACTGGCTCTCAACTTGGTTCCTAAATAAATCATGTGGTCAGTCTCACGGGAAAACTGCCTGTAAGGGCTTTTACACAGGATACTCATCTAAACTCAGTTTTGAGTCTGGCAAGTGTGTGTGCCCTAAATGAGCTCACACAGATGCAGGATCTGAAGCAAGCAATAACAAAGACCATTCGGGCATGTCAAAAAATCCCTGCTTGGCATTTGGTCATAGCTTACCTCATCTGATAGCAATTTTAACTTTTGCCTTTATAACAACATAAGGGTCACAAGTACAGGCTTCCTAAAGATTCCATTCCGATTTAAGGTACAGCATTGAAATGCATTTAGAAATACCTCTCCTATACTTTTGAATAGTAATATACAAAATCAGCTGAAAAGCTTTGATCGCCACCATCTTTGAACCATACTTAGATCATTTGAGAGCCGAAAACAGCAGCTCTTTACGGCTCATTTAGGGCACACACACCTGCCTCACTCAAAACTGAGTTTAGATTAGTATCGTGTGGATAAGCCCTTACGGGCAGTTTTCCCGTGAGACTGACCGTATGATTTATTTAGGGAACGAGTTGAGAGCCGATACGCTTTTCGAAGTAAGCTTTCTTATCTGTGGTTATTTGCTATAGAGCATCCATTCCCTGAAGTAGATTGTTTCACAAAGATGATTGTTCAAAGCGTGTTTTTTGTACAAATTATAAATAAGGTGTGTCATTTTATAGGAGGGGCATTGCACTGGCTTCGCTTGGTGGTCCAATTTATGCTATAGGAGGACTGGATGATCATACTTGCTTCAGTGATGTTGAGAGGTACGACATTGGCTCAGACCTGTGGAGTAGCGTGGCACCAATGAACACCCCGAGAGGTGGTGTAGGTTCAGTTGCACTTGGGGTAAGCACTACATCAGTTTTCCACTACATTCAATATTATGAGTGTCCAAAATGTAAGTTTTCTAAAGCCATTCTCAGAAAACTGTTGCAGATGTTTAGATGTTGACATTAACAATATACAACTCTAAAGGATTGCTCAAAAGAAACCTTTAAGTTTGCTCTGTTCAACTCTGTTGTGTTGCCGCTTCACCTCACGCTCCAACACAGCTGAAACCCTCGACAAAGCCTTTGGCACCTTCAGAGTTAACTTTTCCAGTGCCCTGCTCTCTGCCCTCCCTCACACCATCCTCTACAAACACCAGATTAAGTGGGAACTCAGCAGCCCACTCTCGCACAAGTCTCCGCAAGTCTTTGCCTGGCTCTAATGGCACCATTTACCCCAGTAGATCAAGTTTAAGATCCTCATCTCCATATGCGCTCATGAAGTTGCACCACCCTATCTCCGTGATCTCCTGTGTAGATGCATTCCACACGCTAAACACTTCGACATATCCCCACATGAAAGGCGCTATATAAATGTTGTATTTCTAAGCCTTAACATGGCAATTAAATGTAAATATCTTGCTCACTTTTGAATAATCTGTTCATTTAATCCATTCGCTTATTTTTTTGCATTTAGAATTATGTATATGCTGTTGGCGGTAACGATGGGGTGGCATCTTTGTCCAGTGTCGAGAGGTATGATCCCCATTTGGATAAATGGATGGAAATTAAGGAAATGGGACAAAGAAGGGCTGGAAATGGAGTGGGTGAACTCAATGGCTGCTTGTACATAGTTGGTGAGTATCAAGTTTGTAATGGGCACATTTGTGGAATAAAAATTCCACAATTCTGCAATCAGCAATCTTTAAGCTTTCATGCAACCATTTCTAAACCAGGTGCCCTAGTATTGAAGTTGACCATATTGCAGTGTTGTGGCTGCATGTCCTTGTGAAATATTTTCAGTTTCCTTATAAAGGAATCCTGTGAAAATCATCATATTGCACCTCAAGATAAGATTTATTTTACATCTCTGTCATAGTCAGCCGAACAAGAGGACACATTTCGGATTGCAACAGGCAATTTCACGACAGACGCCAGGAAGTACTACTAATAATAATCCTTGTATTTGATATATTGCTTTATCATGTCTTCTAGATGTCAAAAAGCGCTTCGCAGAATATACTCTAAAGTGAATTGACTGTATGTTTTGTGGACGAAACACAGCAGCCAATTGTGCACAGCTGTGTCCCACAAACAGTTGTGGATACAGTATCTCTTTATTTAGAGAATAATTAATGACTGGAGTAGGTGGTTGAGGCCAGAGCGCTGGACTAATTTAACATAAAAAGTTGTTACTGTGGTGGTAGAGTGGGTATTCTAAAGGATGAGATCAAGGGGGCCAAAGGACCTTCTTCATCCAAACCTCTCTTGTGGTTTTATGAACCATGGCAAACTAAAGCATTATAGATATAGAAATTTACAGTACAAAGCAGGCCATTCAGCCAATCATGCTTTTGCAGGCTCACTGGAAGAGGTATCTGTTTAGACGCATTCTCTTGCCTTTTTCCCTTCCCCCCCAAACCCTTTTCATATTTCTCCTATTAGATATTCATCTAAATCCAGACTTAGGCTGTATAATTTAGTTATACAAAGTTGCTCAATATGCCAAACGTATTTGTTAATTAACTCGATAGCTTAAAAAAATCTGTATTTTTTCTTTAAAAAATTATATAATTTAAGCTGGTTTCAGTAGGGAGCCCCAGCTGTGATGTGATGTCTTACTGTTTCTTAATGATTTTCTTCCCAGTAACTTCGCTGTTTTATTTATCACCCCTCAGGCATGGAGATCTAAATACCACTCTTGTATTATAAATGAGCTTATGCCTGCTCGTTCTATTTGTGTTGACTACATTGAATTGTTATGGGACTGACCCTGCTGATGCATTAGAAGCAGCAGTTTGTGTTCTCTTGCAGCTAGCTAATGCTCGGAGTTATCAGGCTTCCTGAGATGAAGAGTAAAACCAGATGAGTGAGTGGCAAGGGCTTATAAGGCATGGCCGTGAATAGTGACTAATAGTGACTAAGTAGGCTATCCCAACTAAAAAATCCCTAGGCATTTTTATATCATTTTTATATTGGATATAAGTGATGTTTTTAAAAATAATTCATAAAAGTCAGACATTTATGTTAGTGAATCTATTCAGCTTCTTATCTTCAGCGTGACTGGCAACCACAAAAGAAAATACATTTCTGTCTAGTTTTAAATTAATTTTTTGGTCAGCCGCTGTCTGACACGTGTTCATAGAATCAATACCTTGATGAAAAAGTCAAAGGACTTGTCAAAAGTGGATCAGGGGAATAAGAACTGAGCTTTTGTCTTTACAAGCTTTTGTAGAAAAATAGTTTTTTTTTGAAAAAGTGATAAATCAAGCAAACTTGGATGCCTAAGGTAGCTGTGATAGCTGCCTGGTTTAGTTTGATGTGTAGCTATATTGACTGTACAGTTTGTTTGTCTTTGAGATGTCCGTCTTCTTATCGGATGCTCCCATTGGAATCTTGAGAAACAAAAGAAAGGGGAAGGCAGCTATTTACTGAATATTATGTCCTGTGGAGAAGTGGGATTTGGGGCCTGGATTTGTTCCTCTACCTGCTGCGTTAACAATTTAAAAATCTCCACAGCAAAGTTGGTTAATAGCTTCATGCTAGAGAGGCAGCATTGCAAGAGGATCAGCCTCTCTCCTTTATTTGCGTGGATGTTGGGTGGAGACAGGATTACGCTCTGTTGTGGTCGCTGCTGTGGCTGAATAGCTTTCTGGCACTCGTTGTCTAGGCTCTCATATGAGGAATCTGGGTCACTTAGGCAAAGTAACGAAGGACTGCCAGATGTACATGGCTCAGCACAAATCATTATCTTCAAGAAAGAAAGCGAATAATAATAATAATGATGATGATATGATTGATTTGTTTAACAACAGCAACTTGGATTTATATAGCGCCCTCCACGCCGGACGGCATCTCAGAGCGCTTCACAGCAAACAGATTTTTAATTTTTTTTTGGAAATTGTTGTTGATTTGTTTAACAACCTTTTAGTTTTACTTTGTCTCTAATTTCATATCTCGAAATCTGTCAACCAGTCTGTATACTCACCTGCAAAATACACAGTCATTACACCTTGGTAAAGCAGTAAATCCTTTCAAGCATTTTCGAAATGTCCTTTTGACGTGAAAAGCGCTGTATCAAATGCAAGGATTTACTCCATGCTCTTTGGAGCAGTGCTGCTGAGATCTAGAATGGCAGAATAACACGCTCAAACTTGTATTGCTCTGCTGTGTGGCATCTTGTACTGTGCCACCACCTTGATGTATTATCTCTCCTCTGCAGGTTGCTGGTGACTCATTTCTCTTTGGTCTTGTTTAGGTGGATTTGACGACAACTCTCCACTCAGCTCTGTGGAGCGGTTTGATCCTCGTACAAACAAGTGGGAGTATGTAGCCGAGCTGACAACGCCACGTGGTGGAGTTGGGGTGGCAACCTTAATGGGCAAAATCTTTGCAGTCGGTGGCCACAATGGCAACGTGTATCTGAATACAGTGGAAGCCTATGATCCGATGATAAACAGGTAACCAACCGCCTGCATTGCTGATTCTATTGTTCTACAATACTTTGTCTCACTCTCTGGAACTCCCATCATCGCATCGAGGCTCGACTACGCCAACTCCCTGTCAGCCTTCCCAACTCTTCCCTCCACAAGCTGTAGATCATCCAGAACTCTGCAGCTCGTGTCCTCTCCCGCACCAGGCTCCGTGACCCCATCACACCACCCTCGCCCGGCTCCACTGGCTCTCCATCCCCCAGAAGATAGAGTTCAAAATCCTTGTCCTCGCCTTAAAGGCCCTCCATGGCCTTGCCCCCTCCCTACCTTTGCAACCTGCTGATTCCATGTCAAACTGTCCGCTCAGCAGGTTCCGACCCCAAGCTCGGGTCCAAATCTCTGACTGTCCAGCACCTTGGGACGTCTTCCTGACGTGAAAGGCGCTTTACAAATGTCATTTTGTATTGTATCCAGGAGTTCCTTTGACTAGCCCCTTCCCTCACCTTCAAGATCTGCCTCACGATCTTCTTTAACTGCGTCTTGGCTATGTTTTCAACCCTCAGCCTCCCACCTCCTTGGCCCCCATCCCCAGCTCAGGAGCAAATGCTGGACTGTCCAGCGCCTTGGGATAATAATAATTTATTCACTCAATCCACGACTGTTTGTGGAAACCCACCTAACAGCCCCTTTCTGGACTAGATTTTGACCCAGGGCCTGAGATGATTGACAATTGAGAAGCTGAACTTAGATTGAGAAGCAGAACGTCTTTTTTGGTCAGCCTGGTTGGCTGATGCAGGCGGAAACCCATCACCAGGCTTAAGAGTATCCAAACCCCCATGCTGAGAATTCCATGCGTCCCACCTACACATGGAAATCCCAGAGATAGATTGAACTTAGTCTGAACGCTACATTTGGAAGCATTCACTTCAATAGAGGAGGACTCTCCACCTGATTTTCCTCCTTGCTTTTCTCCCGTGTTACAAAGAATAAGCGGGAACCTAGTCACACACGATGGGGAAGATTGCTGCTTTGTCCATTGAACCACTCTGCCCCCTGCTGGTGTTAAACGGAACCCTTTTAGCTATTAAACTTCATGAGTGAACCTCTGAAAGCCCTGTGCTATTCTGGTCCGTATGGGTGATTTGCACCACTCTGACTGCAACATGTTTAACTGTTAGAAAACAAATAATACGGTAGGAAACTTTGTTTCTGAAATGCTTGTGTGTAAATTCTGGTATTGAAATTGGTGCTGGCATGTGACCAGTTTTAGTTGCTCACAAGTTGTTTTAAATGTCTTGACCATCTCATTAATTAGATAATTATTTTGCCACTTATTTGATATTGTATATTCAATATTTGTATTTCTTCTAATAACTGCATTTCATAGCAAAGTAATTTTCTCAATGCTATTGATGATGGTGTTACAGCAGGGGATTTCAGACTCTAGATGGGGACTGGGAGTAAACATGAGTCTGGTGATGGAACAATTCAACAACAGGAATGATCAAGGATGGTCTTGGGAACACAGGGGGAGCAGATGGTGAACAGGGCATCAATGCCAAGTTCACTTTATTTTCAAAATTGTCAGAAATAATCAGCTGAATTTGCGTTTTTTCAATAAAGAATAAAGCTTTCTGGCAGTTTTCATCCAGTGCTGAAGGTCCACAGCCTGAAAATAAAATTGCGGTTTTACCGTCCAGAAATCAACTGCTCCTTCCTCTGTATTGTGGATTCTACCTTTCAGTGTAAAAGGAGGTGAATCTGCAGCAGCATTGGAATACATCTACAATATAAATATAGCATGAAGCAGGACCTGCATTCCTCCACCTGGGGCACTGGAATGCTAAACATCAGCTTTCCCCAAGAGGGAGGAAGTTAAATGATTGTATGAGTTGGTGTACCTTGCGATGTTTGTTTTGGTTCAATTGTTTTTCTTCTGTTCTTTAATGATTCTAGGTGGGAGTTGGTTGGGTCCATATCGCACTGCAGGGCAGGAGCTGGAGTTGCTGTGTGTGGCTGCCTAGTTAACCAAATCCGGGACGTGGGACAAGGATCCAGCAATGTAGTTGACTGCATGTGACCTGAAATCTGGTGTATGGAATATGAAGCCCTCTCAAGATGAATAATTTTCCCAGAGGAAAAAGTTCTGGTCTGATTGCCGCTTGTTACTCACTGAGGAGAGGAACAAATTTGTCCTGATTTGGCTTGGCGTCTGAAGTGTATATAGATTTCCAAAAAGCAGAATTTGATCTTGTAAAACTGTGTCCCGAAAGTGAAGTGTTTTGCGTTGCAGTGGATGGGAAGCATTTGTTTTTTGCGGATAGAACGCTTTTATTCGTGGGTGTGAATCAGACACGTCATCAGTCACAGCGAGCTGCGCTGTCGCAGTGTTAATGTTCTTCCAGCGGCAATTGTTCTTCATGACGCAGTAATGTCACACATGCTGGAGAAATAAATTCTTTATAGTACTAAGTGAAATGTGACACTACACAACGTTTCTGGTTTGTATTTCACATTGAAAACATACTGTAGGTTGTTGGTAAAGGTTTTATTTAAAAGGAAATTTCATATACTTTAATACATTTCTCTACATCCTGTTTTTCATCTTCACTACTTAGGAGTGGTGAGTATCTGCACATATTGTGCTTTCTGCTGAGGTTCTAAGCTGTGTATAATTTCCCAGGGCTTCTTTGAGACATTCACCAAGCAATAATTCGTCAGTTTTGTGACTTGCTCAGCAGTGCACAGCCCCGGATCAGCGAGCACCACCTTTGACTGTGCTACACTTAAATAAATGCTTTGGAAGTTTTTATTATGTTCAAAACTGCAAGCATGTTTTAATGCTGAGTGTTCCTGTAAATTGCTTGATCACTAATCAGTATATTTCTGCTCTTGACCTGGCTCTATCGCAGACTGAACCTTTGTGCTCTGTTTCACAGTAATATAAAGACTGATGTTTTTGGAGGGAGTAAGAGTTAGATCTATATTAAATTATATTTCCAAGATGGATTTTTACTGGATGACTTAATTCCATTGCTCCAACAAACAGCCTGTGAATTCCTCCTTAATCCCATTGTTAGGAAACAATGCATATCTCAAATGATGACACTTTTTCAGCAGATATTACATAGCCGTTACATACAATACCTATTTTTATTCACAATCCCAAATTTACCTGTGAATGTTTTTGGTATCGTCCTTTTTTGGATATCTGAGTGTTTTATCGGGCGGCAGGAATGATCAAAGTGGATATACAATTGTGTATTTGCATTGTGGTCCTTATTTCTGAATGTATGGGAGCCTTACATCTTGCAAAAGAGCTTACATCTGCATTTCAACGCACAAGAAGTCTGATCCTTCTTCTGTGTGTTTGAGAGACTATGTTCTTCCCTTTAGGGGTATCTCAGGGAGGTTTCAAACTAGGTTACACTTCATCCAGTTGGAAGCAGCATTGGCACTGATCTGGTGGTTGGAGAATGACCATAGTTTGTGATAGGGAAAGGACCTAGAATACTCCAGTCCTGTCCGAGCAATAAGAACGTGTTGACATTGAGTATTCAGAACACACCCTATTATTTAATTTGCTACACCCTATGCAGTAGTGTATTGGAATTGCAATTGACTTTTTTGTGCTTGAAATATTCTTTTGTTTTGCAGTGTTAGTTAACTTAAAAATCCTCTTCATTACTTTTGTATATTCCTACGGTAAACAACAGTGAATCAACAAGATCCATGTGGGTTCATTCCACACACAAAAAAAGCTGTAAACATGTTAGAGCAAAATCATTGCTTTTTAACAAAAAAACTTAAATCATAATTTGTTGTTTATGATTGTTTGGTCTGTTATGTCAGTTTCTGATGCCTAGTTTTTTTTAAAAAAATCATCATTTTAACAGTGGAATAGTATTCAATGCAGAGGGAACAAGACACAATTTAATTATTTTTAAGTTAAATACCATATTAAATGAACGTTGTTTATTTGAAATGAGTTTCTCTTAAAATCCGAAACGTTTTGAGTTTTCCTTTTAATTGCATTGGTTACAATTGGAAATTTACAGTTTTGAAAAGTGTAGCTGTGACTTGTCAAATGTGTCACAAAATATGTAAAATGCAATAAGTTTTGAATCGGGAGAGGAGTAATCATCTTTGGTGTCAATCAGTATTTAGAAGTATGATTTATTTTGTTTTATTGAAATAAAGGTATTCACCCTCAAACTGGTATTGTGTTGCATTGTGGGGTTAGGCTCAAGTGAGATGAGGGTATTCTCCTCATGATAACATGTTTCGCCCACAAATATACAGTCAATTCACTTTACAGGATATTCTGTGAAGAACTTAGAGACATGTAGAAGACGTGAAAAGCGCTATATTAAATGCAAGGTTTATTATTCCTCCAAACGAGCATTGTGAAGAATGAAGTGTATTTTTCAAGGATAGTGTGATATTCAGCATAATTCATTGAAAAAGCGCAGAAGGACCATCAAGTCCGTACTGGCTCACAGAGCAATTCAATCCCACTGCCCCGCCCATACTCTTTAGATCCCTCCCTTTCATATACCTGCCTGCTCCCCTCTCAATAGCCACAATGGACTTCACCTCCACAAACTACTTTGCAGAACATTCAATATCCCAACAATTCTCTAGGTCAACCCGGCCCTTTATGGTCGGCAAACAAGATACATTTTTTTGATTGATTTACGATCATAATCCTTGCATTTGATATAGCGCTAATCATATTGTTGAGTCTCAAAGTCCTTCACAGAATGTATTGTAAAGTGGATTGACTATTTTGTGGGTCAAATGCCCACAAAATGCTTATAATCAAGAAATATTCAATCAAGAAAAAAACTGAAAACACAGTATTGATCGAACACGGCCTTACCTAGACTAGCATGAATGGCCGCGGGCTGCTACTTGATGGCCCCATGGGCCACCCCAGTGACCACTACTGCTCGAAGTGAAAAAATTACTTCTAAGTTCTCCTTTTGCTGTTATGGTTATTTTATACCTATGTCCCCTAGATACTCCCCTATCAATGGAAATATCTTCTCCCTATTTACACTGTCAAAACACCTCATAATATTTTTCCTCCTGCCATATTCTCAGAACTTTTCAAACAAACAGAATCTCTTCCAATTCATCCTGTGACCAATACCCCAGTGACTATTTTGTACATTAACTATCCAATGTGACATTTGATGCACTGACAAAGGTTCAGGAAGGTGCTGAGCTTGATCACGTATTAAAGGATATTCAAAGGAATGACCTTGTTTTCAGTGGAGAGGAAGAAAAATCCAGTTTTCTGAATACGAACCATGGATAATATAGAGATGTTTAACTTGGACTTTAATCGCAAGAGTACAAAATTAGCAAGACAGGAGATGAAAATTAGTTTACATTCCCCTGAGTAGTGATTGTAGAATAGCCCTCAGAATAAGAGGTCGTCTGAATAAGAGGTCATGAACAACAGCTCAGAAGAATTTGCAGATGATGCAAAAATGGACTGTAGTTAACATGTATAAGCAACTTCAAGAGGCCATAGAAAGACTGGTAAATTGGGCAAAGAAATAGCAGATAACATTTAATGCAGATAAATGTTAGGTTATACATTTCGGGGAAAAAAAATCAAGTACGTACTAAATGGAACAGAGACCTTGGGGTTAACGTGCGTAAATTCAGAAGGGAATTAGATGGTTATTTGGTGAAGATTTCAATTGAGACTAAAAGGTCCACAATGTTTCTTTTCAATCCTGTACATTTTCCTATGGCAATCTGCAGCCTTGCAATTGCTTATTATCCGTGTGAAAAGCATTCAGTGAGTACTCAGAACACATCCCTCTGGAGCTCCATTTATCACTGGCAACCAGAGATTCAACTGTTTAACATCGCGTACCAGCTGTTCCAGTTAATTCCATGAGCTTTAAGCTATAATATAAAGTTAATATGCAGATCCTTATATCTGATGCAGTTCCAAACAGGTTACACCTCAGTGATGCTGTTTAGTTACCTTCCTAAGGTAAGAGGGTTCATTGTCTAGGTTGACACATCCGTGCCATGACTCGCTCTGCCTTCCCCCACCACCGCAACATCGACCCGCTCAGACATTGCCTCTTCTCTCAGGCCGTCGAGACCCTCATCCATGTATTTGTTTCATCTAGGCTCGACTACGCCAACTCCCTGCTTGTCGGTCTTCCTGACTCTTCCTTCCATGAGCTGCAAATCATTCAGAACTCCACGACCCCCGAACCCTCACCAGGGTCCGTGACCCTATTACCCCTATCCTTGTCTGGCTCCACTGGCTCCCCATCCCCAGAGTATAGAATTCAAAATCCTTGTCCTCACCTTCAAGGCCCTCCATGGCCTTGCTCCTTCCTACCTCTATGACCTGCTAACCCCATATCAACCTGTCCACTCCCTCAGCTCAGCAGGGTCAGCCTGCTCCATGTCCCCTGCCCGGCCTGCCCCACCATCGGCGTTTGGGCCTTCAGCCTCGCTGCCCCCACCCTTTGGAACTTCATCCCACAGTCTCTTCACTTTGCTCCCTCTCCTGCCTTCCTCAAGGCTTTGTCTCAAGACCTTCCTCATCAACTGTGGTCACCCTCTACCCCTACCCTCCTTGCCATCCATCCCTCCTAATCACAGTCCACTGGTCGTGTCCAAATCTCTGACTTTGGGACATCCTGCTGACGTGAAAGGCGCTATACAAATATAATTTGTTGGTGTTGACACTCCAATACAGTGCTGGGGGTGTGCAGCATTGTCAGAAGTGCCACCCTTCAAACGTTAAGGTGAGATCCTGTCTGCTTGTTCAGTTGGACGTTAAAGATCCTGTGGCACTATTCAAAAAGAGAAGGGAGTTTCTCCCGGTGTCCTGGTAAACAATTCCCCAGATAAAATTGGTCATTCACTTCATGGATGTTTGTGGGACATTACTGTACACAAATTGGCTAGCACGTTTGCCTACAAAATAAACAGTTACTATGCTTTTCAGTAAATCTTGTGAAGGGCTTTGAGATGCGTTGATGATGTGATAAGATGCTATATCAAATGCAAGGACTACTACAATATTATATAACTTGTGCCCTTGTGTGTTTCATATAGGATAATATTTCCCAAAGTTCTTTACAGGGAATGATGTGGATCATAAAACAAAGTGGATTGGATTTAATAATGCTGAGATCTAATATAGCTTCACAGCACTTTTATTTCTACCAGTTACCTCCCTTAAGTCAATAACTGAAACCTTAAAGGGAGGCCACAGTTGCTTCTTTCTTTCTTTGGCCAAATATAGCGCCCTTAACACCATGGCACAAACCAGTGGATTTTGGCCGTCCTCGACCATGTACCTCAATTAGTTGGTGGGTATTCCCGTGAGCAAGTGAGCCAATAGGGACAGCTTGTAATATGAGTGCTTTGACAAGGAACACGTTGGCTGTGGATCATGTGGAATTTAATGACAGCAAGTCAGCATGTTGTGCTGAGCTCCCCTGCCTGACATCAGTGGAACATTATCTGCTTTCACCAAAGGTCATCGTTGAACATTACAGAAGAATCTTTAAGAGTAAGGTTGCCCGTGAAAGGTTGGGCTCTATTTTAAAACAAATGATATGGGGCATGCAATGGCGTAAGCACTTTGCACTATACTACTCTACGGTATCATTAACGTTTCAGCTAGTAGAGTTAATTATGTCTCAAGGATAGGCCAGCCAAAGGTGAGATCCACTTTATATGATGCTAATATGATTCCAAGGTACTGACACCAAAGGTTTTGTCCCATGATAACATTGAACGTTTTAGTCAATAATTTATTCTGTGTCTGTTCGAGGAGAGAATGTGGTGCAAAACCAACGCTGGTCATTTTTCACTTTATACTGCAGTAAGCAATGTGAGTGAGCATTTGATAATAACTGTGATTCTCTGCACACAATATATCTAGGTTTACTATCTTACAATTCAACTACACAGAGAGTAACTCTACAAACTGTCATCTAATTCCTGTTTGTGGGACACTGCTGTGCGCAATTGGCTGTTGCTTTTGACAAGGCGCTAAACCAAATGCAAGGATTATTATTATTGTTGTTAATATTACTATTATTAGTAGTATCTGTGTCTTTGGTGGGTAAGGTTGTCGTGATAGTCCACTGGTGGGTACCTTTATCCACCATGGTGGCATGAGTTTATAATGGGAAATTTATCCACCTGGTGACGTGGATTTGTGATGACACATTTGCCAGAGAGCAGAGAATCACCCGCAAAAAACTTATTGATGTTCTTTGATAGCTTAATAGCTAGATAGTCCAGTAATATATTGGTTAGAGTATATTGAATCCTGTAGAGTATTGCTTAGAGCACTTGCCTCGCAAGGGAGAGGAACCATATTCGATTTCTGGGCAGGGCGAATCCTTAGGCAAGCTTCCTTACTCATTAAGCGTCTGTTTATCTAACAGTAAGTAGGAACCTGGTTGTTAATCGATTGGCAGATCGCTTTCTGGGGGTAATAATCTCTTCAAAAATAAATAAATAAATTATAATAATAATGATTTAGTCACTTAACCCACGTTTGTTTGAAAGACACTGCTGTGCACAATTGGCTGTAGTGTTTCGGCCACAAAACATAGTCAATTCACTTTACAGTATATTCTGTGAAGCACTTTGAGACGTCTCAATGACATGATAAGGCGCTGTATCAAATTTAAGATTATTATTATTATCATTATTATAGTTTGGATGTGTGCATAAAAATTTGTGGTAACATATGTTTTGGGGCTAGACAGTGGTCTTTTCTGGTCGAGTACAATCCTGTGTTCCTTGATTTCTACACCATTCAACTTTTCACAAATCTTAATCGATGCTAAAGGTTGTTGCAATTTCTGTAACTAGAGCAGTGCTTAGTGACACTGGTTGGTTTATTTTTAAACATTGATAATAAATAATAAACAAAATATAATAATTCTCAGTATTTGATGTAATGCCTATGATGTCTCAAAGAGATTCACCGGTAATTGCAGTCAAGTGTTGGGGACATCACAACTGAACCAGGACCTATCCTCTGCCAACGTTCACATATACTTTATAACAAAGGGACACCGGGGGCAATCTCGAAGGGAAATTCTGGTTGAATTTTGCCTCTTCATAGCTCAGGAGTGTTGATGCCAATTGTTGCAGTGTAATTGTTGCTGTGTCTGAGATTAGCTGCTTTAGCACAGAACAGGGAT